CGATTCCTCAGCCTCCATGGAGGAGGCCGGGGAAGGGCTTCGGCGTCTTGTACTCTCTCGCGCTCCCAGGTGGAAGCGTGGCCGCCACCCTCAGGCGGCTCCGAAACCAATTGTTACGAATAGGATGTGGGTGTGGGTTCCTGCCCTCTTTGAGCCGCGGACCCGCCTCGCCGGGCACCTAGGTCCTTACAGGGCACCTAGGCGGGACCACCCCTCCTACTCCCGTATCCTAATATGGATAAAGGTTACAGTGGGTGAGGAATAGTACGTGCCTTGGGCAGGGCGTCCCCCACACCAAGGGCCATTAGTAGGACGTCTCCCACATCAGGCTGGTGCGCGTAACATCATCATTGACCCACCAAGAAACGAAACTTCCGTTAGCACGAGGCACAATGAAAAACACCATAAACCATAAACCCCAACTGTCACAGAAGACGGCGAAGTCATCTTGCATTGTTGAACTGAAAGTGAATTTAAATGGCATACGCTAAATCCGACCCGACCTTTGGAGTGGTATAAAGGGGCGCGGGACGCCATGTGTGCGATTCCACCCATCCCGAGGGCGTTTAGGGGTTTAGGGGAATGCGCGGGACGCCGTATACCCGTCCCGAAACAAAAAATTCTGACACTTATGTTGGTGGCGCCCGCATGATGGCTTGGTATGGTGCATGCGTGTATGGTCGCCAGCCAGGCACACATGCAAACGCCCCCAAGTCGTTGATGCCCAATGCCAAGCGCCCAGCAGGGGGAGTTCCTGGTGGGGCGAGGACCACCGCCTCACTTTCCATCTCCAGAAACAGTTCCCCAGAGCCCTCCGCTGACATGTTGCATTTAAGGCCGAAGATCATAGAGTGGGGGTTGGGGATCGGAGTGGCGCTACCTCATCCATTAGGTTGGGGCGCCTGCACACTGCACGTTGTTGTGACGCCCGGCCTCAACTCATGGCCCTTTGCAAGTCTGTCAAGCCAGCGTCTTGTTGGTGGCCTACTTGTGGCGATCTAGTGCCACTCAACATCTTGGCAGAAGGCTTTGGGGACACGTTTCTAGGGACGGGACATGAGGCGGCAGTCCTCGCTCCACTGGGAACTCCCCCACCTTGCCCATTGACGTTTGGCACCAACGACTTGGGCGCTTGCGTGTGTGCCTGGCTGGCAACCGTACATGCGCCCACCGTACGGGGCCATTATGCAGGCGCTGCCAATGTGAATGCCAGAATTTTTGGTCCCGGGACGGGTGTACGGCATCCCACACATTCCCCTAAACATCAAACCTGCGCCCTCAGGACGGGTGGAATCGCAAACGTGGCGTCCCGCGCCCCTTTATACCACTCCAAAGGTCGGGTCGGATTTAACGTATGCCAATTCAAATCCATTGTCTATAAGTAAAAACCCACTGACTGGCACGCAGCGGCGCGGTTCTAGGGAATAGCCTGGCGGGTGGCCGGAGGGCGTGGTAGATATCGTGCAGCCGTTTTTTGAGGCCAGCTCGTTGTCGCTGCATCATTGTGCAGCATGCGAGTGTTTCTTGCAATGGTTTTAACAAGTGATGCAATGAGTTCAGAGCGTTGGATTCCCAAGCACAACTGTCCAATAATCCCTTGTGTGCATTGTCTATTTTGCATTATCGGCCCATTTTGGTCACTGGCGTCTGCTGCGCTCTCATCCACCCCACCTCCCGCGGGTCGCATCCCCACCACGTGTTCGTACCATTGCGACCGGGATCTCCCCCCCCCCGGGATCTGGCGCAGGCTCAGGGGAAAGGCACCCCACCCAAAGGCGCGCTCCCTTTGCCACACGCCCACCCGCCTGCCCGCACCCCTCCCCACCCTCCTCAACCTCCCCACCGCCCTGCCGCCTCGATGGAGACATCAACCCTCACGGCGGGCACAATGGCGCCGCGCGCCGCCCCCAAGATGGGATCAACGGCCGGCAGATCGCCTGTGGCGCCGGGTGCCAGGGCGAGCGGATTCGCGGGCGCGAGGCTGAGGGGATGCGGCCCGGGGGCCGCCAGGGAGGGTCGGGCTGCTCGGCTGGCCGTGATGGCCTTCCGGGACGGGGAGAAGATGGATCGGCCGCTGCGCGTGGCGGTGGTGGGCGGCGGGCCCGCGGGGGCGTGCACAGCCGAGACGTTGGCGCAGGGCGGCGTGGAGACGTACCTGATCGAGAGGAAGATGGACAACTGCAAGGTGGGGGGCGCGGGCGGCGGGGGGCGTTTTGGTTGTGTGCATAGTGAAATTTGGGAATGGATTGGGGGGCATGGGTTTGTGATGGGTGGTATTGTCGTCGGTCGACTGGGCAGTTGTTAATCAGCTGGCAAAGGATATGTGTGGGCAGCGCACCGCCACAGAGTAAGGGCGCCGCGCTCCGCCGCTCACACGCGGCAAAGTCGAAGAAGCCGCCACCCTCGATAATCCAACCCCTCGCATCAAATGGCAAAAGGGGTGGGTGGCGTCCAGGATTATGCCTGTTGTGAGCCGCGGGCATGGTGCCTTTCTTTTCTTTTCGCGGTGGTGCGCTGTGGACCGAATTCGGCATGTGAAGGAGAACTGCATTGTACGACAGACTCTGGTGGGTTGTGGAGGCCACGGAAAGAGCTCCCATGCCGATGGTTGGAAACTGTACCGTCGCCGCTATAGGATGGCGTGTGGAGGCCGCGTGGTCGCTTAGGGACTGTCGGCGGATGATTTGGCAGCAACATTCGGTTTGTTTGGCAGGTGGCTAGTCCAATCAGAGGGCAGGGAACCTGGTCATTTCAGCTCCGAAGCTATACGTGCTCGAGCGAGTGAGCAGGTACCAAACCAGAACCAAATAACGCTGCGTCGTTTTGCGCTCCTGCCACACAAGTCCAAGACCAGAAAAGGGGTGGTGGTGGTGGTGGTGGTGGGTGGGTTGGGGTTGGGGTTGGGGTTGGGGTTGGGGGGGGGGGGGGGTTTGCAGAGATGCCGACTTGGACAAATTTGGGACCGATGCTGCTGCCGACGAGGGCGTCTCTATGCAGTCGCATCCCTTTGTCAGTCTAACGGGTAGAATTGTTGGCGAACGCAACGCTTGCAGGATCCCTTTGGAAGCCGCAATTGTGCATGGAGTTGATAGTCCATGGTGGACAAAGCCCTCTTTTTTCTTTTCACAAGTCTTGATTATCTGGTGTCCACACTTTTAGTAAATGGTCCCCAAGCATATATACTAATGAATATGAAATAAATAGGACATGGTTGTAATAATATGAATGCAATAATATGAACATAGTCTTATAATATGTTGGGTGCTGCTTTCCTCATCACTATCTGAAAGGAGCAAAGGCATGGATCAATCAATCAGGATACCTGAACTTTGGTAAATCAACAACAAAGGTCACCACTCATGTCGTTCTGTTAAAACAAAAGACATCACTGGCAGTGTAAAGAGTGGTTGTATCCACATGTGCCATCTGAAGCATAGAGCACCCAACAGGGATGGGCATGGGACTGTGTGAAGCAGGATCAGTGAAGGCCAGTGTGGCGTAGTGTGACCGATTGCATCAATACCGACCTGCCTTTTTGCTTTGTCAGGATCTTTATCAAGGGCTCAATTACAACAGGACAAGGTAGTACTCAAGAAATGATTCAGGGGCCAACCACAGGCCAGGTGCTTGTGTAGTTTTTGCACTGCCATGGTTACTGTCCTGACTTCATTTCCTGCATTATTCACAGCCCTGCAGTCATGCTACGCCACCAAACATGTTTTTCCGATCTGTTTCATACATTTGCTTACTTTCTTTTTTCTCTGGCTTTTCGCAGCCATGTGGTGGTGCCATTCCTCTGTGCATGGTTGACGAGTTCAGCCTGCCCCCTGAGATCATCGACCGCAAGGTCACAAAGATGAAAATGATCTCACCATCGAATCGTGAGGTGGATGTCGGCAAGACGCTGAGCGAGACCGAGTACATCGGCATGTGCCGGAGGGAAGTCCTGGACAACTACCTGAGGAAGCGAGCCAAGAGCAATGGTGCGACGCTCATCAACGGGCTGGTGAAGAAGGTGGTCGTGCCAGATGACCCCACGGGGCCATTCAAAGTGTTGTACAACAACTACGATGGAGATGGCGGCAAGGTGAGGCAGGCCAAAATCTTTTATCTTTGCATTTGTTGGAAAATTGCAAACAGCTGCAGTTGTGCCTGACATGTGACAGTGGCGACGTGAAGGCGCACTATCTTTCCCTTTGGGTATAGGGAAAGTTTTCTTTGAAAGCATCTGTGGTTGGTGCCACCCTGTGTTTTGCTCAGGTTCAAAGTTTTCTCTAACTACTTTAGTCAAGCATGATTGTGTGTGGCTCTTGCGCCTTTGGCAGCCAATGTCTGAGGTTTAGGCCAAGGTAGACAGGGGTTGAGTGGATGTGTCTTGGTGTGCCTCCAAAAACAAGGATTCTTGAATCGAGAAGCAAGGAGATCAATGAAGTATTCGCTTGGTGGTGTTTGAAAGTTTGCGGACATGGGAAACTTTGCCACTCTGACCGTGGTGGCACGTGCGAAAGGGTATCCTCCTAATGTGCTGTTGTGCAAGTCTTGTGCCCCTGGCTCGTGCAAAGCTTGTGTTTAAGTAGACGTGGTGCAGCAGGTTATGAGCACTCCTACTTGGCAGCGAGTGCCCATATGTAACGAACACATACATAACAGCGCAAACTGTGCACCTTGGGATTTCAGCTATTTTTATATTTAGAACTTCACATCACATTTTGATGCATGTACTGCAGCATTCCTAATTGAGTAGACATGTTACAAAATATGGTCTTGGTATCAGCTTGGTATTGACCCAGATTCTTGGCTCTGAAGTCGACACAATTTGCGGTTCAGATGACTTGTGACTGAGGTTCATGTGACTAACCCATATGCCTGTTTGGTTGTCAGGGCAAGGTGGGTGAGCCAGGGGAGATAGAGGTTGACTTGGTCGTTGGTGCGGACGGCGCCAACAGCAAGGTGGCGGGCGCTATCGATGCCGGGGAGTACGATTATGCGATCGCATTCCAGGAGAGGATTAGAATCCCCGACGACAAGATGGACTACTACAAGGTGAGCTGAAATGTGACTGCTGAATGTGATGTAATACCAGGGAATGTGAAGGCGCAGTCCTGTAGATGACACAATGGTCATTTTCTGGAAGAAAAATACTGAAGATAATTTGTCACTGTGTACATGCTTTGGGATAGGGTTGCCAATAAGATGGATCTCAGTGGGTCTGCAGATCGAGTTGTGGTTGTGTTGATGATGCCATGCCAACGCCTATTCAAAGCCGCAACAATTGACCATCAATGATGTCCTGTCAACCCCCAACAGCTAATCAGCAGTTTCATTGGCTCCATTGAATAGCATTGTAACTTCCTCAGGACGATTGAAGACAGCCCAAGCATGCAGATGTCGATGTGTATTCTAACATTACTGCATCATGCTTAAGAATCCATGCGCGATAGGGTGCATTGCAAGCCAATTTTTGTGTCGAGCCATGCACATTTGCCTCCCACCCGTACAACCATCCAGTGCATGAATGTGTGCATTACAGCATTGTGGAAAATGACTTCCTGACCATGAGGATGTATTTCTACTGGTCAAGAACATCAGTGTTTCTAACGGAAGTCACAGTACTTAGCTGCAGAGCACCCAATATCAATGTCAATGGTGCACATGTGGCAAACTGGTCCCCAGACAGCAACATATTCAAAGGATTGGGATGCACCAAACAAGTTTTTAAGCCAAGTGCAACAGGCTCTGTTTTCTGAACTCCCAGTCTGATGTTCTGGTTTGGATTCAGTTTGCCAAAACGTAGCCATTGTTCTAGTGGTTGTTCGTAGCCGTTGTTTGCTCTTAGTTATATTGTAAAGAACACCCTGGAGGCAGGATACTGATTGAATAGAACCTTGGCAGGTGAGTTCTGCTGCTAAAGCTGGCTTGCTGCTCTCGGGAAATGCACACATAAGTTGGCAGGAGACACCAGACAAGTATCAACTCTCAAACTGGAAGCACACAGGCCACCCAAACTGGAAAAGCCACTTGCCAAAAGCGTGAGATACTCTCTTTGCATTGTTGGTGCTCAGGACCTGGCTGAGATGTACGTTGGTGACGATGTGTCACCTGACTTCTATGGCTGGGTGTTTCCCAAGTATGACCATGTTGCTGTGGGCACGGGAACTGTCATCAACAAGACCAAGATCAAGAAGTACCAGCAGGTGGGACACACACCCGACTACTCTTCCTTTGTGTTTGACACAGGCGGTAACGCTACACAGGCAACAGTGCTACATTGGAACAAACTCCAGTTGCACACAGTGTTTTTAATGCTCTTGTTTGTTTTGCATTGAAGAATTTTGAATGTGGTGTTATGCTTTGAATTGGAAAACAATATACACCTAGTGGCATTAGAATAGTACAGTGGCGAATCTCTTTCCACTGCTCTTTGCCAGCAAGCAGAGCTTCAAGGGTGTGCATATCCCTTGTTCTCAGTTGCAAATGGGGCATCTCTCTTCCATCTTACCACAGCAGCAACTGACGTCAGTTTCAATCGGCTGACTAAATGCTCACCTGACAGGCCACCCGCGATCGGTCACGCGTCAAGACTGAGGGCGGCAAGATCATTCGCGTGGAGGCCCACCCCATCCCCGAGCACCCACGCCCCAACCGCGTCAAGGGTCGTGTGGCACTGGTGGGCGACGCTGCGGGCTACGTCACCAAGTGCTCTGGCGAGGGAATCTACTTCGCAGCCAAGAGCGGCCGGATGTGCGCGGAGGCCATTGTTGAGGAGAGCGAGAGGGGCACGAGGATGGTGGGAGAGGCGGCGCTGCGGCTGTACCTGGACCGGTGGGACTCCAAGTATTGGGCCACGTACAAGGTGCTCGACATCTTGCAGAAGCTCTTCTACAGGTGGGCCTTGCTACACATGAATTAAGAAGGATGAGTGTGGCTGTGGCGAGAGCGTAGTCTTTCATCTGAAGCGGCAGTTGTTGTGGCAGCTGGCTATTTGACCTTTTCTGTGCATTATCTATGGAAGATACCACGATTTCAGCAAAGAGACTGCCAAAAAGACAGCACTGGATTAGGGATGGTACCCGGGCTGGCAAAACCGGACCCGGGTACCCGGAGTTGTCGGAACTTGGGTACCCGGGTGTACCCAATACCTGGGTACCCGCGAATAACTGGGCTGCAACACAGCCGGTATCCTAGGGACCAACCCGTCGGAGCCCAGCTGCATTTTCTGCAGACCGCTGGTTGCCCCAGGTGTGTAGAGATGTTCCAACCCGTCAGATTCCCCGATTCCGGCTCGCCGGCGCCACGGGATCGACCAAGCAGCACCATGTCGATATTCCAACCGGTCAGTTTCCCCGATTCTGGCTCGCCGGCGCCCCCAGATCTCCAAACGTGCGGCCCAAAGAAGAGTGTGTGGAGAGCATCGGCGCCGTGCACGATCGCGACGCAGCCACACACAGTGTGGACGGGGGCGACCTTCGGAAGCCAGCGCGGTGCGAAGCTATGCACTGGCCGACCGCTGGTCAAACGTGCTGTACCCGGGTCCGTACCCGGACCAGGGTACTGGCAGTACCCGGGTAATCCGGGTACCCGCCGGTACCCGCCTGTACCCGCCTGTACCCGGGTACGTACCCGTACCCGCCTGTACCCGGGTACGTTGAAATCCGGTTTGATTACATTAACCGAGCTCCGCGGCAGCTGAGGCCATGTGGAGGTACCCGGGTACGTACCCGTACCCGCCTACCCGGGTACAAGGGTTGGCGGGTACCCTGGTACAAGGGTTGGCGGGTACCCGGGTATGCGGGTACTGGAAAAAACAATACCCGCCCCGGGTGCCCGGGTTTCCTGTACCCGGGTACCATCCCCACACTGGATAGATGCTGGAGTTGCTCAACTCCGTCGTTTTGAAGTCCATTCTCGCATGTCTTTTTCCTGCTGGACATCCTGCTGGAGGCCTGCTGGCAACCTTCTTCAGTTCTTTGTTGGGAAGCACGTGATTAGGGCTGTATTATCTTCGCAGCAAGTTTGTTGTCAGTGCACTCCAAAATCCCAAACCAGACAGCCAAGACAGCCACAGTTCGCACGAAACGATGGCGGCCCCAGCAGAGTTGTCGTTGGAGTCCCCCGCGTTGCTCAGCTGCCACTGCCGTCCTTCTGTCCCACTGCCGTTTCCCCCCCTGGTGTCTCTTCCAGCGTCTCAATCTTCTGTTGTTTGGGACATATCCTGACGAACGGCGGCCACACAGGTCGAACCCTGCTCGCGAGGCCTTTGTGGAGATGTGTGAAGATGACTACGTCCAGAAGATGACGTTCGACTCGTATCTCTACAAGACAGTCGTGCCGGGCAACCCCTTGGATGACGTGAAGCTCCTGGTCAACACAGTCGGGTCCCTAATTAGGGCAAACGCTCTGAGGCAAGGCAAGGGCCTCAACATCTCCTTTGGCAGCAAGCCCAACGAGGAACGCGCTGTGGTCTGATGAACACTACGGACCGCCGTGCTTCCTCGGTTCAGCCAGAGTGCCCGGGCTGCCAACCAAAATGGGCCGCATTTGGTGCAACTCTGCGGGATTTTGAAACAGGGTGCGCAGCGTCTCTCAGGCTGAGGTGGGAACGGTTCATGTACTGCTGGATATTCAGAACCGCTGGTGTTTTGCTGAGAGGAATGCGCGCCCTGGGGAATTTTTCAGTGCTTCCCAGAGCCTTTCCGCGTGGTAGTGAAGGAACGTATGCAGGCTGACTTGTGTTGATCGTTTTGACTGTCGTGGAGTTCTTGGGTGCCAGTGGTTCCCGAATCTTCATTTGCGCTCTTGAGGAACCATGAGAGAGAACAATGCTGTGGTGGGGGTGGGGCAATGTGTGTAGACACTGCTCGGGGAAGCCGACTGATATATGACTGGTTATACTTGTACATAGGTGTTGTACATGCTGAGGCGAGCGTTATCGCACATGTTTAACTATACTTCCTCGATTCTTTCACTCCCTTTTCTTTCTTGCGCAGTCTCCTTGACCCGCCTGCGTGTTTCCCACATAACGACGGCATGAACAAATGGCACTCAAAACCGGTGGGGCCCACCGTTGAAACTTAAAACACGAGGCACCCGCAACTATTGTGCCCCATTCCCTTCGCAGTACTAATATGTAACGCAACCCTGAGTCAGCTTCTGAAACCCGTATTTTATCACCATCCCACAGCCAGCCGGCCCTCACGCTCTTCGGGCGGGCAGGGCAGGTGCAAAACGACATCGAGTTGAGAACCCAGGCGGGGGCGTGCCCCAACTCTGCCAAGGCGCCCTTCCTCGAGTTTGTCGCGTCTCCGCCATCGTGGAATTATGGACAGGTTTCTTTCACGGAAGGAGGGTGCTGGAGACGTGTTCAATGCGGACTGATGAAGTGCTCTCCCCAGCAATGGTGCACAGGCCCTTGGCAGGCGGAGACGCACCCCTGGCACCCGTGGCAGTCCCGGCGGCGCCCAGCCAAGAGACCGCAGCCACGTTGCACGCATCGTCGGCCAGCTGCCCTTGATGGGGCAGGCCACCGCAGGCCCGGGAGGGTCCGCAACCCCCCTGGGCTCCCCACCGGCCAGAGGTTGCGCAATGCCGCAATCCGCCAAAGCGATGCCGCCTCCCATGCTCCATTTCTGGAGCAGCGACGCGCAGCAGCCTCGCGGGGGTCTGACAATTTGGCAAAAGGCATTCTACTACCCCGCTCGCTCGCGCCCAGGCGGCCAGGAATGCAGGCAAGCGGCCCAAGTTCACACCGCATCGATTCAGTCAAGCCCACCACAGCTGTGTTCAGGGGCGCGTGACGCCACGTGTGCGATGCCACCCGTTGGCTTGGCGGCACGTCAGTTCTGACAGGACCCGATTCTTTTGCCAGAATATCTTGCCAAATTGTCGCTGACCCTTCGCGGCAGCACACAGCAATCGTTGCCAACGACGGGGCGATGAGTTTTTTCAGCCCCCTCAACCCGCCGGGTGACGTCACGGCCACGCGGCGGCGGGACGCCCCCCCGTGAATCTGTCCGGCCCGCGGGGCCGTGCCATGGCCGCGCCTTTGCGCACGCTTCCCTCAGGACCAGCCCATCCATCTGCGCCCTTCACCTCCCCCCCCTCCTTTCCCCGGCCCTCCCCTTTTGCCAAAGAACCTTACCCGCTGCTTCTCTTCCTACCACCCCATCCCTACCGCCCGTCCCGAGGGGCGAGCAGTGGGGCTGCGGGAGCAACGCCAGCGTTCCCGCAGCGACCGAGGCGTGCTGAGGTCGGAGCGGTGCGACGCTGTGGAGGCCCGCGACACAATCGCGGCGTTCCTCGATCGGGTGAGCGGGCGGCCAGCGCCGGCGGATGCTTTTGGGGGGGTGGGGGATGAGGTTTGAGGGCGGCCGCCGAGGCCTGTACTGAAATGTCGGGATGCGGAGGGCAATGGGGTGGGCGGGTGCGTCTTTGCTGGGCAATTGGAGGAGATGGTGGTGGTGAGGAAGTGGCGGTCGAGGAAGGGGGATTGGGTGGGAAGGTGGTGGAGCGACCGGGTGGGGGGCCGTGCTGGGGTTCGCCGTGCCAGATACGCAGGGGACCGTCCTGGCGCTGTACGGGAGGCGGAGGCGGGCTGTGTCGGGCGCGTGTGCGGCCCTTGTGGTCGGGATTGACGCGCATCCGTGCGAAAGGAGTCGGCGAAGGCGGCGACGTCCGGCAAGAGCCGGGCCCGCTGAGGCTGCCGACGCGTGGGTCGGGAGGACCCGTGGAATTTGGTTGGACGCAAGCGTAGTGACGAACGCAGAACGCAGCGCGAATTGCTGGATCGTGGATTTCGCGCTGCGCGGAGGCGGTGCGGCGCCGCCGTGGCCGTTCTGAGTCCGCCCGCGGCGGAGAAGTGCCCAGAAACAGGCAATTTTGACCAAGAAGCACCCGATGCGCTGTTTGGGGACCACACCTTTCATTCTGCCCCAGAGGTTCCGCAAGTGGTGGCCAATCACGGGGAACCGGATCGTGGTGTCGACGGCGCCCAGTGGTGTCTGGCCTGCCTCTGGCTGTCCCCCCTTCAACGGTCGACCCTAGAGGGCGTGCCGTCCAATGTGCGCGTCCCACGGCGGAGCCGAGCGACCGTTCTGTACCCCCTGATGCCGGTTCTTCCCTAGTCTTCACAACCGGGGTGGCGAAATGAGGAATTTCAAACTTTGTCTGATTGAAGTCCGCTGGCTGGGCTTCACAGTCTCTGGACCCGCACCTCCTCTTCTGCTGAATGGTTCCCGTTGTGTGTGTGTGCCCATCCCAGGCCAATTCCACAACCCTGCCGGATCTAAGACAAGACATCGTGAACAATGTGAAGAAGGTGCACAGCGCCCTGGAGTGTTTTGCCAACGGGGAACCGCCGCCCATGTCCCCAACACTCAGCCTACCAGACTCGCTGGATGGCTGGCTGCCCCCATCCACAAGGCATAGCTCAGGAGCCACAGCGGCTGAGTCGCTCGACAGCTGGCTCCAGGACAAGAGTGGGAGTCACAAAGGTGAATCACGAAGCAGCATGTGCAGTTGCGCAAGGAAACATCTGTTTGGGCCATTTGGGTACAATAACCAGAAGGCACACCAATGAAGTTTCTCACCATAGCATCAAGCACTGTGGTTTTGAGGTTGATCCCGTAGTTTCCAATCCACTGATGCCTTCTTGGAAATGCAAGTCCACTTGGGGCATGCATTGTGATGTATGGGGTCTGCAGCCATCAAAGCAAATACATTTGTTGGCTTTGATCACTGTTGAAGTCTGGCTGGATGCTTGCAGGCATATTATTTCCAACCAGCTCTGCACACTGTGTCTATGTTAGAATCCCAAGCCGTTGTTCTGGCAAGTCATTTAATGCTAAGCTAGCTGTCTGGTCGGACAAAGGGACACTGGCCAGTGACCTGACAGGAGATTGTGCCTCTGTGACACATGGTTGCTGCGCTGGACGCAGGGAATAACACTGCGAGCAAATTAGGGTCGCCCAATTCCACAGCAGAAGCTACTACGCCCCTGGGGGCACAGGATGTTGTCCAAGGGAACTGGAACCGGCTCATGGCAACGCCCCTCCAGCTGCAAGAGACGCCTGGGCCTGCACTCCTTATCGCGGAGGGGGCTGCAGATGAGAAACCTCCCTCTACATCTGCACCTGATAGGCAACAGGAGGAACGCAGAGGTGATGGCGTAGACAAAGAGGCGAATGCAATCGAGGAGGGCGACGAAAATGCCTTGCAAGTAGAAAGGGCCCCCAGAGCAAAGCGCCAAAAGCAGAAGAAGAGGAAGAGGGGAGCCAGCATGGAGGACGAACAGAAAGAGACGTGCTCAGGGGAGTCACCTGCAGAAAATAAGAACAACATATGCAGCGAGCCCACTTCAAAATCTTCAAAGACCAAGAAGCCGCGCTCCAAACGAGACAAGTTGAGTGGGAGTGGCCAATAATTTTGCTGTTGTTTTATTGTTTGGGATGGTTGTGAGCAAGCCTGGGATGGTTGCTTGATTGGAGTTGTTGCGATCACATTTTTCCTCGATCTCATGGATCACTATTTGAAGGCCTATTTAATTGGAAGTGCTGTCCACCATGTTGGTGGAAAGGCGAGGTTTTTGTAATGAGCGCATTGGATCGCATTGCCTGCTTGACAAGGGCGCACCTTGGACCAGGTGTCAGTCGTCCAGAAGTGCTGTTCTGGCGGTCTCAGCTGCCGACTGTGAAGTGCAGTTTGCTCCTATCTGTGCAGCTCGGTCTGAGGATCCCATTTTGGCGGTGTTGCCCAGAAGCCATAGCCAAACGGAACTCCGCACCTAATTCGCACCAAATTCGTTGCCTGGAAATCGTCTTGAATACGTGTCGCCTCCTGGGCGGCGCACAATGTGAAACTACTGGCATCGATCGGTTCTTCAGTTCGGGTCGGGGCTGCTTTGTCACACGAAGTTTTGCCGCAGCTGCATGCCTGCATTGCCGTGTAAGTGATGCCCAGGAACGTGGATCCAGCTTTACCGGCCTCTCGACGCCCCACGGACTGGTTTTCGGTGGGATCGCTGCCCCGCATGAACAGAAACAGCTGCCTTACCCCACAGTGACACAATGATGACATCGTTTTGACTGCCTTTAATCTCTCCAAGTGCAACGACCATTAATGCTGCAGAAACATGTAAGATTGTGTAAGTTGCGTAAATTGTGGACGTGCGGCGAACAGAGACGGGGGCAGAGGCCCTGTGCTTACATACCCCAAACCCTAGCGCCTCACCGTCTCCGTACCGGGAAACCCTAAACGACCCTAGATGGTCTGTATCTGCAACAGTCTGGCGTCCCAGGAACTCACGACAATCGTCAGAATTTGGGGTCGTATGTATGAGGTTCCCAATGACTAAGAGCGGCGACAGTGTTCAGCACGCCCTCAAGTCCGGCACCAGCCCTCGTTCTTGGCACATCCACTCACCGCCTTGCTGCAGCCCCGGCTGCCCCACCGATGCCGTTCACCCTGACCGGCACCTTCTTCGCCGGCACCGCCCTGAAGCCGGTTAGTGCTCAGGGCAAGGTGCGTACTCACCGCGGCGCGGAAAACCGCTGCTGCAGTGGACGCCATCCTGGTCAGCAGCGGGCGTAAAGCGGGTGGCTGGGTGAGGATGCCAGATTTGTAAGCGGTCACTAAGCCCCTGTTTGCCTCACGCCGTTGGATCCCAATCTGTCCGGGAGGACAATTCGGGGAGATGGACTGGTACACAGTGGTGAAGAACCGAGCAAACAGGCGCCTAAACATCCTCTACCGCCACGGGTTGGCGCAAACGTGCGCAGGGCTGCGTCGCATCCGAAACTTTGGGCGTGGGTGTCAATTCGATTGCCGCCATCGCTGCTCCGCACAAACTGTTGGGCAACATCAAGCATCCATTCGATGCCACGCAGTCCACTTGCACACCGACCACCTTTAGCACTTCGCCAACGGCCGCACACGTTTGCTTTCTGCTCCAAGCACCGACGTCACTTCCGCGGCTGGCCTGCAGGGCACCTTCCAGGCGACGCGTGCAGCAGTCGAGTGGTACGGCCCCAATAGGGCGCTGTGGCTGGGTCCCCTCACCTACACGGGTGGCGCTGTCCCGTCCCACCTCAAGGGCGAATTCCCTGGTGACTATGGTTGGGACTCCGCGGGCCTGTCCGCCGACCCAGAAACATTCAAGAGGTTAGTGGGCTGGCGCACCAAAACATTTCCCACCCGTTAAATTTGCAATGGATGTAAGCCTCACCTATTGCACCACCAAAACCGCACGCCTCAACCACTTCTGCAGAGCCTCTTCTTGGAGGAGAGCTCATGCATTTGCCCTCAGGAACTCCTGTCTACTGTGGCTGTTCTCTTGATGTGGTACTGGTCTTCTGCCATTGACGCCAATGTAAGGCGTCGCTGTCTGAACTTCATGACGCCCAACTCCATAATGCCAGGTACCGCGAGGCAGAACTGATCCATGCCCGATGGGCGATGGTGGGAACTGTGGGATGCCTTGTCCCTGAACTGTTCTCCAAATACTTGGGGACGGATCTTGCCACACACGTCTGGTGGAAGGCAGGGTACTCGATCTACAGCGAGGGTGGCATTAACCTGGGCAGCCCAGACCTCATCCGCGCCCAAATCATCATTGTCATTGTGATCCTCCAGGTACTGCAGGCCATTATGTCTTCTGAGCTGTGCTGGGTCTCTTCGCCTATTGTTCGGGGAGTGCTCACAACATCGAAATACCTTTACCTCCACTGTATTTATAATCCAGAATGCTGCACATTCAATGCCACAACCCAGGAGTGGCAGCTGGGAAGATGGTGCCTGAGTTTGTTGTGCAGGCAAAGAATAATCGGATTGTGGGGTTGGTGTGGGCATGGGTGCCCTAAATGCCGGGTATTAGGGGATGTTGCATACGTGGCATGTAGTCGCTAGATGAGTGGGGGATGAAAGGGACTGAACTGCCTCTGCAGGTCTTGATCATGGGTTTCGCAGAAGGTTGCAGAATCAATGGCGGACCAGTGGGGGAGGGCCTTGACCCCCTGTACCCCGGCGGTAACTTCGACCCTTTGGGCCTTGCTGACGACCCGGATAGCTTTGCCGAGCTCAAGATAAAGGAAATCAAGAATGGTCGGCTGGCCATGTTCTCTATGTTTGGCTTCTATGTGCAGGCCATCTGCACTGGCAAGGGGCCTGTGCAAAACTGTGCAGAGCATGTTGCTGACCCATTCAATGTCAACGGATTCAGCACCTCCGCGAACTTAATGGGACTCAAAGTTTGATCTATCTGCTTGGCCTTACTTGGTTTGGGTGTGACGAGGCGAAAATTTATGTACATTCCTCCTGTAACGTTATGGCGCATGTGAGCGACAGGTTCTTTTGTTTGCATTGTACATTGTTGAAACACATGTTTTTCGGTGGAAAGAGGCACAGCCGTTTATGTGGAGTGGCGTTGGGCCATGTGCTCCTGGTCGCTTTGGTGGCCAAGGGATTGGAGCAGGCAATGTAGAACATCATTTTCCTGTGAGATCTACAGGTTTCTTGATTGGATGTGCTGAATGCCAGAGATGCAACAGCTGTTGGGCAGTTTTGGTTCTGAGTTGCTGCCTTGGCCGTGGCGCCTGGCCTGCACCAGGTTGTGAATGATTCCTTGAGTTGCTGACTTGCAGTCAACCCCTGCGACTCCGCGGGTTTGTGCAGAGCATATGCACCTTCAAGCAGCCGCAAATCGTAGTGGCCTTTAAGCAGCGCATGCTTCGGGTTGAGCCTTGCCATAGCTCCGCCATGGAACTCTCGCACGCCCTTTGGATGTGCTAGCTCGGGCACTGTTCGCATTTGCTGGCCCACTCTTCAAGTTTAGGGCACACAATGGCGGCACAGCATCTCCATCGAATGCTCAAGTACGGGCCCGCCTGTGTACAGTTGATTCAGTGACGTTCGTGATGCCTACATGCCACTGGAAGGGACAGAGTGCAGCAAACTGCTCCCCGCTGACAGATCTGCGGCAATTTAGTGTTCCTGTGTACCACCACATGATCTTGATCTCTACGAGAATGTGTCTTCGTTCGAAGTCGCTTCAACAGCCCCAGGGCCCATGGTGATCGTGCTGCACGTCTCTTGGGGCTGTTCATGGCTCTTGGAGGGCGCAAGCCTCTAGCTGGCCAGTGAGCATGGTCACCTTGGTGCGGCACTGCCATGGCCATTGTTGCGGCTGGCGGGGGCGGCTGCTACGGACAACGGCAGGCTGAGTGTCGGTCTTCGTTTCCGCCAAGCCGGTCTGCTGGACCTACCCCCAATGTTACAACTGCATGGCAGGCCCCTGCACAATGTACAAAAAACGGGGTCCATCGCCACAACAACTTCAACCCGAGGCCCTCGGGCCGGGGCCCCTTCCGCTTTACAGAACTATATGCCTTATTATTTCGTGAGTCAGTCCTGAGCCAGAGCACGCGCTCCCATACTTGACACTCTCACTCCTTACAAAGAGCTTCTCTTCAAGTGGATAGACGGTTGCAAAACAGGACGGAGTGGGGACCGAGGTGCAAGCATGCATAGCCGTCACTCAGCCAGCCTCAAGCACGGCAAAAGATTAAAGGCCGCCAAAACTTCCTGTGGCCCATTTTGAACCCCTTGTTTCACTGCCCAAAGGTACCAGGCGGACAGAAATGGGCTTACATATCCTATCAATGGGTTTCTGGCAAGGGGAAGGATGGGTGGGGGCGCACCGGCACGTTTGGGGCCTTACGTAAAGTTTGGGCATGCCTATTTAGTTCCTGTCACACTTGCATCTTGGGTCAGTTAAAGACCGGGAACTCAATGCTTTTGGTGCCCCTGGGTTCGGCAGGCATTTCTGGGGGTCGAGTTGGGGGTTTTATCTGGGGGCTCATCGCCTATATTGTCTCGCTTCCCGCCAAGCTTTGACACAACCAGGACCACATAGAAGTCCTCGAACCTCCAGCCCCCTTGCCGAGTGTTTCCTGTGCGATCTCGTCGCCTTCCTGGCTGTCGCTTCGTGCACGAGCGCAGCAGTTCTCGGGTCTGTGCACAAATGACAAAAGACGCATTGAATTCGCGCGAAACGCTCCAGAGCAGCACAATGATTGGCATGATTATCAGCTCCTCAAGGAGGGCACCGCCTGCGTAGCTTGCACTGGCTAGCTCGAGCCCCGAGCGTGCCCTGAACCGAACAGCCATCGGGCCCCTCCTTCAAGCGAGATGCTTGGCCATGAGCTTGGGCCTGGAGGAAAGAACTAGCCAGGGCCATAGTTCTGGGATGTGGCGCTAGAGCGTTCACGGCATGACACAACGCCCAGTCGGAGATGCCAGCAACACGGCAATCAACGCGATGATCAAGAGCGTGGAAGCATGGTAGGGGCGTTCTTGCCTACCGTCTTATGTTGCCTAACAGCTGACAGAATACTTACTTGCCATCGCGTGGCAATTCGAAGAATGAATTTACAATACTGCCACGGGCCGTCACTGCCTTCAGTACCAAGACTCTCCACAGAAGGCACAGGCTTTCTGAAAGCGGGAATGTTCCAATTTTCGACGAAGCACGCCACAAGAGTCTCATGAATGAAGAATTCCATTCAAATACACTGACGCCGCCACTGGACTCAAGTGTCCCATGGTAACCACCCAGCGTAGATTGAAGATCCACAGTGCTTTGAAATGGCTTCCAGCGCTGGGCACTGCGTGATGATAGGGACACCAAATGCGAAGGGATCCCTCCGAGACCGCTTCTCTCGGAGTGTGCCTGTGCAGCCATATGGGTCGCTGGCGAAAGCCGCGGCAGCCTTAGATTCCCCCTACACCGCAAGCAGTAAACAAACGCTGCAGCCGGCTGGTGATCGCTCCAAGGACATTCGTTTCAAGATCGCTGAGTGCCCCAAGGTATGCCTTCTGGGTTGCCATTATGTACGATACCTTGTATATGGTACCGCTATGCATGCGTAGAAAGGAGATGTGTCTTGAAGCATTGTAGAACGAAGAACAGGCTGCAAAATTTCAGGTAACATTGTTGAAGCGGCAACACCGTGAGGAGTGCATGTGCACGTGGCACCACATTCCCCACACAGGTGAGAGGAACGAGACACCCATCTGAGCAAATGACGGGCAAGCCGCTGCTCCGCAAAGCCTACTTCTCCCACAGATTGGCTCCACGGTGCCGCAGTTCCTACAAACGTGAAGCGCGCTGCTGGCAGGCGTAGTGCTTCGCGATGCAGGTCGAAGAACCTCGACCGCTTGAATTCGTAGCTGATGATAGTTAGGCGGGAGGGGTAGCGGTGCGCGACGCCATAAAATCTGCAAAGACTGAACAGGAGGTTCTCGAAACTGTCCCTGGAGAATTCCTGCACCACAGCAGCCGAAGCTCTCGGAGTGCCTTGTAAAGTCGCGCTTGGCGTTTCCAAGCGCAGCGGTTGACACTAGAATAGACGCCAGTGTGTCATCGGAGGTAAGCCCAGGCACCACTCACGCATTGGAAAGTCTGAATGTTGTTTTGTGAAGCTCATTTTCCCTACAATGAGGCTCGTTTTAAGCGCGATGGCCACTGCAAGAGTCACTCTGACAAGATTGACAATGTATCATGCCCCATAGTTTGGGGCTTGGCGCAAACTTTCCCAGGATGCAAAGCACCATGCGTTCTAAATCAGGATGCTGAGTGCTCTGAGCCCTCAGTATATTGCATGCCAATTGATCCAACTGATATGAAACATGCCAGTACACACAATGTCAGTATGTGTATATCAAATATGTCAGTACCCCCTGGTCATTGCTTCATAAGCTGAGTGCACTAAACAAGTACGCCGGGTTAATCAGAGGACGCCGTGTGCGCACAGCGCCCGCATGTCCGGCCTTGTAAGCTGAGTGCACTAGAATAATGGCGAATGTCTCAGCGTCTCGTGCACCAACTGGTGATGCTCTGTCTGATGTAATATACCTTCAAATAGCGTGAATGGTAAACGCAATCATTGTGTTTACCATTTTGGCGTCAGCATTAGTGGAATCCACACGTCAGAGTGATTGTATAGTGTACAAGGGGCAATACTGGCCCGAGAAGATAGAATTTCAGGAGACATAGCTAGATGATCGAAGAACTTATATTTTCGATGTAATCTTGCCGTCAGGAGATTGTGCTGGCCATTTGCGCCGCACTAATGGCTGAAAATTCGCAATAACAAATGTTCGGACGCACCTCTGTATAAGCCCTTTTCCGAACCGCCGGATGTCCAAACCATCCCTGAGCGTCGGCTACATACCAGTAACCACTCCCCTCGCTGCGTGGCCCGGCAGCCCAACGCGAGTGGCCTCCAGAAAACATAAGCAGAGCTTCTTGATCCTCCGCTGCCATCTAGCACAAGAGACGTGTACTCCAGATCGGTGTCAGTTTGAGATATTACACCTCGGCAGATGCGTGAACGTGGCATCATTTGCGACACTGCTGTTTGCACGCACGCACCTCCACACCCATTCGAATTTGCTGCATGATTGACTCCACTTGACCAGGCGCCTGTTTTCCAACAAAGGGGACAAAGAATGAATAAATGAATGAATGAATGAATAAGAAGAATCTAAAGTATTGAAGGTGATCCAAATGACCCGGAGGGGACAAAGAGGTAACTGAAATCTGCATATTTGTGAATACACATTAAAAATGGGCATGGATCGCTCTTTGAAGGGGACCATTGGCAATACGTCTGCCGTCCTGGGCTTGGTTGTAAATACATTCTTTGGATTGAGAAGAACCCGCGGTCAATAAAATATTCACCTTTTCGGACTTGACTAGGCAGCGGTTCATATCGCGAATGGAAGCAGGGTGGTTTTATGATCGCCATCACCGCTCAGCCGCCGTTTCTATCACCACGCAGCTGGTGCCCACCAAATGAGCAGCTACCATTGTATCTAACACTGGCTGACTCTTTGGCTCCTGTTTCGATAGAGCCATTTACTTCACGATGTATCTTCTTGGAGCGAGCTACAGAATCGATGAGATTCTCAAGGCACCTTTTGGTACTGTTCCAGGTACCAAGACGACATGCTCCAGGGTTGCGAAAAGTCACTCCCCGTGAACACGGCGTGCCCCGCGACGACAATCAAGTGGTCGATCCCCGGCATGAGTGGGTCGCCCATGGCTTCGGTTTCCGAAGAGGCGCCCAAATTCCTGGTTATGGCCAAGGACCTGTCCGCCTGTAGCGAGGAAAAATCATCCATGAGATGATGGACAGCAGGCCACGGACAATTGCGAGTGCAGCCAGAAATGCGGATTGTCATAATTGATGCGCGGACTGAGTTCACCGGCGCCTGGCCTCACGTGTGGTGGAAGTATCAGTATTGAAAGGAAGGCACAGGAGGAGCTCACTTAGCATGCACTACAGGTCAATGTCATGTGACAATACCATGCATATCTTTTGAACAACTGGTCTAGCCATTCATGACGGTGCAACAAGAATCATGCCCCGAACAGCCTGAACTGCGTTCCTCATGGAGCAAGGCAACGGCAGCCGTACGGCTCATATTGGCCTGGATAGTGTACCATGGCGTTCCGCCCGCAGTGCGTAGAAAGAGCCAATGGTGCCGGAACATATTAGTGCCAATATGGCCGGTCTCCCATAGCCACGCACACGACAGTATGCAATGCATCACGTCCCGAAAATCCCTGAGGCCAGAAGCACATTCAGCTTGCACTTTCGGGCTAAACAATTCACATGCAGTATCGGCTGCTCTCGGGCGCGCCGGTGGCCAAATCGGTGTAAGGAAATTCGTGTGGGCAAGCAAAACATCCAACGCGTGCCAAGCAGCCGCCCAAACACACACCGCGATGGTCCAGCCGCCCTGGCCAACCACTGCGGGAGATGCGACAAGCTGTGGCCAAATTTCCACCCGCGTCCAGGCGCCATAGGAGCAACCTTCCGTCTGGCGTGATGCCAGCTCCAACTCTCAAAGACAGCCAAAGGTCGCTCGGTGCGCAAGCGTTTCCAGTTTGCCAAACAGGCAATCAGCTGGCCGCTGAACTCACTGAGCGTTCCTTGCTCTCGCTTCTGGGCAGCTAGAAGGGATCCGAGCGCAAGAGGTTGGAGTCAACATGTCCCAAGGGCGCGCTTATTGACGGTCGCTTGCCGCGAAACAGCCTACCGACAGAATCTCGCGCAGCACGAGCGCGGCGGCCACAACCAGCAGCAGGACCGCGAGGGCACCCTTCGCGAGGTCCAGCTGCCTTCCAGCTGCAGCCCCTGAATTTGGCGGGTGTCGGGCACGCAGCAGGGGGCGTTTCTGGCACAGGGGAGGTGGTTGGGCGCGTAGCAGGCCCCGTGGGGAGCCGCTATCAGACATGGACGCCGGCCTGGACAGCGGTTTGGGTTGCCAATGAGCCGGCGGCCGAGGGCAAGTGTTGGCTAAGGCGGTTGCGTCTGCAAATGCGGGCGGAAGGTGGCACAGCAACCAAGGCGGGCACTTGGGCCTTTGGCGGGCCTGGATGGGCCGTGGACCGTCGCTCGGGGCGTCGGTACAATGACGTCCTGACAGCTGGTCGCGGTGCTGTGGATTGGGCGTTGCGTGTGTGCTCAACAAGGCGACGTTTTTGCATGTTCTACATGAGCTGAAAGCGTGTCAAGCTTGCAATTGTTTCTGCGCTGTATGTTGGCACGTTACGATTGTGTCATTAATTGTGATGCGGTTATGCGGTCGCCGTATCTGCAGGGAATATTGGTCGGGGAGTGGTTGGAATCCGCGGTCAAGGGATCATGGCATTGCTAACTGGTTTCGATCGAAGCCACTGGGTCATCATCGGCACCCGTCCCTTCTGAGACTATCCATGTTATGTCGTAACAACGCCGTGTGCGGCACTGAGTGACACTATTAGCAACATATGCGATTTTGTCTTGTGTGCACGCATTGCCCAGTATCGACTCCAAAGAAAGTGCTCTGTTCTGCCAGATTAACAAACGCAACGATAGCTTTCTTGTGGTGTCCCGTGCTAAGAGGAATGGGTGCCACAGCGGGGTACCCCTCTCACTGGGTACCTTCACACAGCGCGACTGCTGAGTTGGACCTGTGGGTGCATGGTACCAGCATTGCTCGACTGCACCGCGGCGACGCAGTTGGCACAAGCTTCCGTGTCAATACCTGAAGTCAAGAGCACAAGCCTTCCGGAGACGAAATAAGTCCATGACGACATCTCCAGAAATGCGCAAAGTGCACATTTCGATTCCCCACCAGAAGGGTGCAAGGGGTACATCGTAAAAGCGCGGCATGCCTTACAAAGGTAGTCCGTCTTCCCATTTCAACACTGCCATTGGGAGCTCCGGGTGCTGGCCGCATATGACGCTGTTGTTCATGAATGCGTCGCCTCCCAACCTTTTCCGGTTGGGGCCAGAAGATGTCTGCAGAATGCTGTTAGATATGATGCATTGATTTACATTGCATGAATCTGCCACATGGACATCAACAAAGCCGCAATCTGTCAACATACAACCCACCGCGGACCCCTTCACAGCAGGAAAAATCGCCCCAGCAGCCAACCACGAAGAGAAGCATCATAATTGATGACAATTTCTCACCCAACCCAACCACCCCAACGCCACAAAACTGATATCCTCAGCGCAGCGCCACCATGCTGTCCACAGCCACAAAATCCCACAAAATCCTTCCGCACAATCCCTCATCATGTGCTTCTGACAGCATGTCAACTGACGGGTAGAGCCCAAGATGGTGCCCCAGGTGAATCCAATTCCCTTGCCATTCACACTCCTGTTGGTTCATTGCCAACTCCACAACTACAATAAAAACAACATGCAAATAACGCCACAGAGGCTCACATCTCAACCGGCCAGATGACTCGTCTGGGCAAAATGTGGTACCTGATCCCTGCTGTCAGTGCGCCATCCTCTGGGGGCTTGTTTAACGCGCTGAGTGCTTCATGTAAGCGAGAGCCATGTAGGCAAGGAAGAAAAAGCCCACAAAGAAGCACACCTCAAATGCGGCGTAATTCCATTTGTCTACGTCCTCCAGACCATAGAACTGTAGGACTGTCACTTTGTTCCCGTTCCCTGACCAGACAGCAAGAACATGGTTGTCAGCATCGTAAACAGGTCCTTGGCGTCCTGCAAGACATCAGGTTTCCGGCGTTCGTGCCAACCCACAGACGACTTTGCGGCATTTTCCAACACATCTGCAATGCTTTACGTCAACATCTATCCTGGGAGACGTCTGCATCGCTTATGCAGCACGTTGAGTGAGTATACAGATATCCGGACGGCCTTTCCATGCGGAAATTGCACATTTCATTGTATGGCATGGTTTTCCATGTTTCATAAAGCAATTCACACGGACAGAAGCCCCTGAATGTCCACCGCCATGGGGACAACTTGCTGCAAATTACATCGTTGTCAGGCTCAAGGGGCAGGCCTGTAGAATGGCGCAAAACAATTGTAGAGAAGACGCATAACGTGTCTTCCAACATTCAACACACCTGCAGAAACTGTGCAGAAGGCACACTTGCTGGAACCCTTTGTTCCATGCGTGGTGCCACGGTTGATCGCACTTGGCGCAAACAAGGTGACAGTCCACATGGAACGGCCGATGGCTGACAGTTTACTATAGATAGTCATGTCACACGAATAAAAGCGGTCAGCGTACCAACAGTCACAATGCAGGCTGGGTTGTCAGGGTCTTCCGTGCAGTCCACATCGCCAGCTCCCCACTGGTTGGCCATCTGTGACCCCCAAGCATATTTGAGGAAGTTGATCTTGGAGTACCAAAACCAGTAATCTGGGATGTCATCGAAGCGGAACAAGAAGCCAGCAAAGAAGAGGAGGGTGACCACGTAAGTGGGAAGTGAAGCATTGGCCACGTCCATATTTGGAGACATGGCAGCGACGAAGTAAGCCAGAACTGCGAACCCAGAGCCAAGGTCAGGTCGCGTCACAAGAAGCCGGGGGGCACGAGAAAACAACTGTGCAAGGGGCAGCATTAGGGCAGGCCCAACATGCTGCTCTCCTTTGGGGCACATGCTTGCCCTGTCTCACTGTTGACTACAACTTCTCTGGCCAGCAGTGATACTACAATTGATGCAGCCATAGATAGCCCTCAGCCTTTGCCTGGAGGAGGGCAACACCACACCCCAATACCCTGACAGCAATTCATGCACACGATCGGCACCGCTCTATGCTCAGGTCGGCTGAGCCCTTTTTGCCAGCCATGCCTCTGGGAATGTACGTGTGAAGCATCTACCAAAACGTGGATGGGCAGTCACACAAAATAATTTCAATTACAATTTACTCGGAAAGGCTCGCACACATAAGCTCTTGGGCACAGAACAGCACATGAAATTTTATGTGCCACAGGCTTCCTGCCTTGAAGAATCTGTTGAAATCCCGAAAATTATAGGCCATTTCCGCGGCCAAACCTGGAGATCACAGCATGCAAAACTGCGGTCTGCTCCCTTGCACTGTCTGCTTGCAGTTGCTTTTCTATGCAGCAGCCGCATTGGACTTGCTCCATTGTGAACTCCAAATGCACTCGCCAGTCTCAAAGCCGCTGGCCACAAGCGACACATATTCTTCTAGCATGACGGATTTGCATTGTACACTCACCAATTCCGCAGGAGAGCGTTGCAAAGTAGATGAACCAGAACAGTGCAAAGCTGCCTTGCAATTCCACCTACCCATAGCAACGAAAAGTGGAACATCAGCAGCAGGAACCATGTGAGTACGAAACGAGCTCGACTAAACAGAAGCACACACTCGTGCCACCATCCTGCCAGACACTGCCTGGGACACAGCGAAGCCTCACTAAAGGAAACTCTGAAATCCCCAAAGGCTTGTCTTGACAAGGAGTTTCCTGTAACAGCACTTGTCTGCTAATCACAAAACGTGAAACAGTGTCTGATAAGACTACCAAAGTTGGTTGGTCAGTTTGCACGACGCTGTTAACAATAAATTTTGCTCCATGCATCCTTGGTTGCCACAACCAGCGTTTTGGCCGAGACATCAAAATGTGGAAACGAAGCCCACAGCTGCCACAACTGCAAAAGTGCATGCCTTGTGCACTTAAATATAACAAAACTAAAAGCAAAGCAATGGCTGCCAGATGTATATGGAAGCGTGAGGATTCTTTGGAGCACAGGGCACCACAACACAGAGGCCAAAATATCGAGGACATTGGTCGTTCTACCATACATGCTGGTTGCTCATTCAGGCACTGCTTCTCACCGGGAAAAAGACGACTGCACCAAAAACGCCGGAGGCTACCAATGCAATCATGAGTTCGTCCACGATTTTCGCACACATGTAACTGCAACAAAGGCAAAGGACCCCTTAGCCTTGCCCAGCAAAGCCCATGACGAATGATATGACAACAAAGTGCAGACAGGTGACAACTGCTGACATATGTTGGCAGGCAGGATTGCTGGAAAGTCGTCAGGCACCAGTAATCTGAGGCAGTTTTCGACTGCAAGCAACACGGCAGATGACAAGATGTCCAAACAATATGTAAACTCCTGATGACGATAGACAGGCAGCCTCTTTGGCCATGGCCAATTCTGTACCGTTCTTTTTGAAATTCAAAAAAAGTTCAGCACATCCGCCCTGTCTCTGCAAAATGGAAAATGGCATTAAAAAATATTTCCGAGGTGCCCATAGCGCATCTTACATACTCAACATAAGCAAGGGTTCATCTGGGCCATCTTTGGACCAAACGCCCACGAGGACCAGCAGCGCAAGTTGGCCATGCTCATTTCTACTTGCAAATGCTCTTGCTTCCCATGCCAAGCATAGAAAACCTTGCCAAACGAGCATGAGAAGATATCTTTGCAAGTGCACATACGTTATGACTCGATACAGGCCATCATTCCGTTCGCGAATAAAGAGTTGGCGCTCTGCATCATAACAAACAAGGAGAAGTTAAACCCTGACCACTCATATGTGCACAAGCTAATCGCCGGAATCTCCCATGAAAGCACGACTTGTTGAAGGACAACATAATCAATACTGACACTTACAAGAGCAAGAGGCCACACGCACTGGTAATTCCAAACTGGGACTATTTTGATGACTGTGATGTCCTTCATGCACTGCGCAACACTTGCCGGCGCAGCGAAAGCTTACCCAAGACGATGGCTGGCACATAAGATGCGGCTCCAAATGCTGGGAGTGTACACCACATGAAAAGGCAAGCAGATATGTTGATGAAATTGTCTGCAGTGAGGTCATCTCCAATGCCCCAATACAAGGACATCAAGATGAGCGAGAAGATGAGCTTGTCCCCAATGCGCGGCCCCAGAAACTCTGCACTCTGGTAGTTCCTTGTCGTGCGATACTGAAATACACAACAAATAATATGCATTCATTGGCACACAATTGTCAACCGAAATGTATGATGGATGCCTACACATCAACTTCAAATCTTGGTACCCAAATAGCAGAGACAGAAAGGTTCATCGTTCATCATGTTTGCATCGCAAACACCAGAACACCAGATAACACCGAATATGGCAGGGAGGGCATCGCTACAACAGCGAGAACCTGGCAGCAATGCTCTCCACCCCATCAGCTCAGCAACGAATCTGGACCTTCTGATTGGAACTATAGAATTTGCAGAACATCAGGATCTTTTGCTTCAATCGCAACACAGATAAGGGAATAGATGGGGCACCTGCTGGGCATCCAGCAGGCACATGTGACTCACCTTAACCAGTGTCTTCAAAGCCCACCAAAACGGTGTCACCGTTGCTCTCTTCACCTCAAGCTCTTTCATAGTCGCCTCAGGGATACTGCTGCGCTCTTGCATGAAAGTCTCCAGAAACTTGTCGCCCTCTGCCTTCAATGGCGATTTGCCAAACTTCTGAGCCAGCACAGGCCCCTGGTTTGTGCGGTCCGCCTTCACGATCACGTCTGTCAGCCACTCAGCCTCGTTGCCAGAGCTCATGGTTGTCCCAACAAACTCTGGAGCAATGGCCTCGAAGTACGCATTGGCGGCACCTGAGTATGCAGCCAGTTGGGTCAACAAATGCATCAATGAATTGTCAATCTTTGCAACACATTCGCCCACAAGAGGGAAAACAAACTCTGCCCTTGCACATTCAAGGCGATGATGGACCAATGTGAATATGGCACGAAGATCGGGTTCCTGGTAACTGTTGCCCACAGCACTGGAAATGTGTGGAAAGGCAGTGCTCAAAAGAGCTGACACTGACTGTCGCTTGAATGCTCAGATGGTGGAGCACTGTGGCATGGCACTGGGTCACAGGCACAATGACACCATGTCGTGCCTGGCCATGCAGAACCTTTGGACGATCTTGAAATCAAGGTAGCAAGGTCACTGCATTGAGGATGCACATCTGCATCCCTGCCATACATACCCCTGTCCCCAAAGTAGACAACCTCGCCTCGGACAAGCATGATGAGCCTGTCAAAGAGTGAGAAGGCGTATGGTGTGGGAGAATGAATGGTGGCACAGATGGTGATGCCATCAGACACCAACTGCTTGACCACAGTCATCACCTGAAGATGTCACAAGGACATGGCACACTCACTGCCACAGATTCGATAAAAGCAGTGCAGATCAAAACCACACAAGGGAATGCCCGTCAGCGCCTACCGTTAAGACACCTGACTTGAGCACCTTCAAGTCGTTGTCTCAGGTAGTTGTAGTGACATGTACTGTGCATTGTGCAGACGCCACAATCTACAGATGCAGTCACATGTACTGCGCACTGTGCAGATGCCACAATCTACTGTGACGCACAAGCTGGGCATCTGTGAGACATAGACAATATGTCTTCTTACAAATTCCATTCCAAAACGTCCTTTCCCTAGGTCTCCAGGGTCACAGAAGCCCAAAATGATGTGGACATCACTTACTCAGAGCAGATGCTAACGAGGTTCCGCCATAGCTCTTGTCCAAGTTCTCCTTCCCTTGGGAGACCAAAGGAGACAGTAGGAGGAAATCCGGAAAAGTTCAATTGCCCCAAGAAGTGCCAGGAGACAAGCACAAAGCGAGCAAGGCAATGAAACACACAGTTACACTCTCCCAAAAACGCATGATCGCCCACATGCATTGTGTGTGCAACTGCACATGAGAAACAGCAACTGAGACAATGGAGATAACATATGAGACAGCAGAGGCAAGTGAGCAATGCGATGCGTGGCATGACCTGATGATGTTTACACCTTGTGCATGACAATCAGTGGTACCCAAACTCTGATGCATCTCACCTCGTTGGATGTGTACGAGTCGAGACCTGAGGTTGGCTCATCCAGAAAAAGCACTCTGGGACTGGTCACCAGTGCCATGCCAATATTTACACGCTTGGCCTGCCCACCCGAGATGCCCCTGTGTAGCGCATTGCCAATCTTCGTGTCCCTGCAGACCTCCAATGCCAGCTTCTTGATGATGTCATTCACCTTATCTTTCTTCACATCCAGCTTCTCTTTGATGTTACGCTTCAACTCAGCAGTGTACATAAGCATCTCTTGCACCGTCAAAATGTCCAGCATAGTGTCTGCATAGCCGTGAACAGCAATGAGCATTCTACCTACCATTTACTTGCACTGATGCAACGTGAGGAATAAAAGAATTCCCAGTGAAGCTGGGCTGAGAATCGATGCATTCACTCGTGATTTCTTCGTTAAAAACACAGCATCGGTATATGCACAACCCTGCAATGGATTCCCTCACAGCACACTCCAGGAACAGAAACATCCACAAAGTGGTGCTTATGTTCGTATGCCATATGCTGTGTGAATACTGTAGAATACAATTGTCAGCACAGAACAACAAGCAACAACCTATGACAATATCGGTGACCTTTTGGGGTTAAGGTGTCATAATCATGTCCACCTGGCATGCCACGGATGCATCCCTTGCCACAACACTCAAAAATAAAAAGAGTGTCAACTGACAAGGCGTTCACAACCACAAACACACACCAAATTGCTCCACATAGCCTGTGTAGCGCCTGAGGAACGTCAACGTGGGCTTGTGGGCTGCGAAATGAATGTCGCCAGTGATTTCGCCAGCTGTCTTGCGCCCAGCCAGCACGTCCAAAAGCGTGGTCTTGCCACTTCCACTAGGTCCCATAAGGGCAGCCATCTGCCTTGGCAGAAAGTAACCATTGACTTTCTTGAGAAGAAAAGCCTTGGTCTTCTTGTCGACGTTGCTGGGAACCGAGTATTGGAGGTCCTGTTGCACAAATGTGCAGAATTCGTCGTTAAACAGAAGACAACAGCTATCTTTCACCGATTCTGAGAGTTTGTGCTTCGATGCATCATTCAAAGCAAATCAAATACTTTTGTTGGGAATACCTTCTGCGTTTGAATACATATGTCACATGAGCCACTGTTTCCGATGGCTGCATGCTGAGATCAGGACAATTGTTTCCGAACACCCAAGGCAACAAACAACTGCTGACATGGCAGCCTAAATTGACAAGGAGGCGTTCGGTGAATGTCATCCAGAATCAATATGGGCCTCTTCTGATCTTCAGCTTACAATAACCAGTCACAGGGCATGGACAGTCAATTGGAGTGTGGCAGGAGTGTGCAAGCAGAAAATTCAACATAACATCTGAAACCATCAGCGAGGACCTGGCTGTCACAACCCTCAAAGAAATCCCAAACAGCCGACGACCATTTGTTTAAGTTGAACAGGCAGGGCGGCACTCAGTGACAATCAATCAACGAGGTGACTGGCGGTCGCTGCGCACCAAGTTGAGAAAGCCACCTTGTTGTGGGCTGCAGATAACATTAAAAGGCTAACAAGAGTGGAGTGCAGACCGCAGAGACCGTGAGAGCAGCGTAAGGGCCAACAGGTTCTGTTGTTGGAAGTCAGAGCACTGCTCTATGCTTGGCACGTGGCCACATCAGGTCCCCAGAGAAAACGACAGACACCCCGAATTTCAGATTGGCAGCACCTGAACATCGTCTCATGGCTGGTTTCGAAATGCTGGTAATCATATCCACTCGCATGTTTGGGTCATGGGGAGGGCTCCAAGGGGTCAACGACAACCTGGCAAAGACATTCTGGCAAAAGAATCGTAGCCGTATCGAGGGAGGTAAAAATGCGACCACCGCCGTTCGTCACAGCCCCGTGACAAGCACAAGCGCGTCTGTGGCGGCGAAACCAACTGCGAACTTGTGGCTGGGCCAAGGCGGCGCCAAGGGGGCGCTCTGGCGGCTGTAGAAGCGTTGGGGTGGACGGGGGGCATTATAGACACACGACCGTAGGCGGATTCCAGCTGGAATCCTTGCAGAAGGCACCCAGCTGCCAGGCATTACGCCCATCAACTTGGCGCCATGGCCAGACCTTGGTTGGCCATGGCTCGAGGGATGGGCACACCACGCAAAAGGCGCGGCAAAAGTCAAGTGGTCAGCAACTTGTGGAGCTCACTGCACGCGCCTTTCTGGGTGCAAGCGTTGGCAAGGATCGCAGGCCCAAGCCCGCCAAGATCTGGCGCGCTTTGGCACAAGCATCCGCATCCAATTCGTAGCCAAGTGGAGCATTGTCGCCAAACGATGGAATGGCCAGCGAAGCTAGCCGACCGCAGGCTGCGAAGCCCATGTTTCGAGCGCAGGGGATTCAGAGTGCCCTCGCATGAGCAAGCACACGCCTCCCCCCGTGCCCAATGCAGCACACCCCTAAGAGCAATGGATGCCATTCCGCTCGGTCGCGCGGGTCGGCCTTTCAGATCTCGATTCCAGGCGCCACGAAATGGCTGCTAAGCTGCGCCCCTCGAAGAGAAGCGCGGTTCCCTGCCCTGCGTGCCGCTGCCGCCTCGCTCCCAGGCAGACGGGGCTCCAGGCCGGCGCCCCAAGTTCGCACCGTATCGCTGCAGTCAACCGTATCGCGAATTGAGGTGGCGCCAACTTTCGTCAGTTCTGACAGTTTCCGATTCTTCTGCCAGAATGTCACTGACCTGGCTCCAAGCGGTGAGGGAAAAACAAGCCCATTATCGTTGGCATACAATTACTGGCTGCACCAAATCGGTGACTTTCTGCACTAAATCGGCGACTGCACCAACTCCCTCCAAAACTTACCTAACCTAAAACCTTAAGCCTAATCCGTAAAACTGAACCTGCCCTAAACCTAACCCTTACCCTAAAACTCACCCTAAACGAAACCTAACCCTAAAACTGAGGTTAGGGCATAGTGTGCAAGTGATTTGGTGCAAGCAGTCACCGACTTGGTGCAGGCAGTAACGCTATTTCCTTACGGTTGGGACACATCATCAGACAAGGAGATTGAAAAGCGGCAGTCGCAGTCGGCGGCCGCAACCAATCAAGTTGCGTGGAACTTGGTTTGACGCAGATCGAAGTACGGCCTGTGTCCGTAGGGGGCAATCACGAGGGCAGAAGCCACCCGAGCCGAACACACAGAATTTGGACCCAGGGCCGCCACGCCACACACACCCAAAGCAGGCTCGGCGTATCACCCCGCTGGCCGACCGCGGCAGGCGGCGCCCGGGGATGGAGAATCCAAACGCGCAGGGACGGTGTGGATGAACACCGCTAGACGCTTTCCGAGAATTGGGCACGCGCCAGTCTGGGACCCAGGATAGCTCACGAAATCTGCGCTGCACTGTCTCCCAAAGCCTCGCCACCGCCCACCTTGAACGTGATTTTCATCCCCTGGACGGTCAGTGTGCTCTTCGGCGTCTCCGGAGGCGCGGCCTTCATCAGCTCCACCGCCTCGTCGGCTCCCGCCATGGTGATCGCGGCCTCCTCCCTGCGCAGCGCGCACGATGCATCCGATTTTAAGCGCCCCGGCCCTCTCCGGCTTGCGCTGAGACGGGGGCGTAGGGACACGCCCCAGGGGAAGCAATCGGATCTCCGCGGATGGAAGTATGCACCAACGTGGTCACAAACCCGGGGCAACATCCAAATGCGCAAACCGGCATGGGCGGAAGCCGCGGTCAGGGGTGCGAGTCCTCGCCTGTTCGCTGCGCCAATGGTGCGCCCGCCAGTCGCCTTGCGGTGCGTCCAATCGCCCGCATCTCGCCACCTGGCCGCAAGCGCCCGAGGGGCCTCCAGTCGGCTGCCAACGCGGCAATCGGGAGCAAAGCGCACCTGATTCGGCTCTCGATGTCTTCGGTCTCCGAGGGGGGTGTCCGTGCGGCGCCTCGGTGGGGCGCTGGGCAGGCGACGACGCGCTGCGCGACGAGCCCGCTGAATCCCCAGCGGTGGCGCTGGCGGGCGAGTTGTGAGGCTGCTTTTGAGACACGGGGCTGGAGACGTGATGGGGCATCCGCCACACCCGCGCTCAATCATTACGTAATGCTTATGACAGTCGCCCACGCCAGCAGTCAGGGGCGGGTTGCGCTGACGAACTTGGCCCAAAGGGCCGAGCGACTGGGGCGAATCCAGCAAAATGGTGGCGAGGCTTTTAGGCAACTGCCGTTCCAGGCAAACAGATGCACGGATGTGTGGGCCACTGTATTCATTTCATTTTCGTTTTTACATAACAAGGCAAAGGGGTAGCCGTCAGCTTTTCCAATTCGTAACATGATTTTGCTGGCAATGCTGGATGGATGTGTACGTGCCCGACGATTGGAGCCGGGCGATTACCGCATCTGCTTCCTCCTACGACACATAACATCGTCCCATCCATCGAAGCAACCCGTAACGTGCAAACAAGAAACTGCAGCAAAGCGTAGTGGTGGCAAGTCGCAGTTGCTTGGGCTCATAAAGCACTATCAACGAAGCGCTACGACGACGGTATGCGTGGAGATGTGCTGTACGCCAGCGGTTAGACCATCGGTTGGGACTGAGATATGTCAGCACTGTCGCAAGGCGTTTCGCGCAAGGGTAGAGATGCGAGCAGGTCACGGTAAATCGGCCAGCGGCAGCCTGCAGCGGGCAGTCGACTCCTGCGAGGCCCACACCACCCCCAACACACCCGCAGAACCAAAATTGACTGGGGAATTTCCACTGAGAAGCACTTTCGGGAATGCGTGGCCTCCCTCAGGTGAGGCCCATTGATGCGCAACTGCCTCCTAGAGTGGATGGCGGCACTTGGCAACGGATAGCCCTCGATGGACAGTGACGGCTGGCCAAACGTGCGCCATTCCTCCATTCGCCTTGCGCCTTACCTTGCACGGGGCAACATCAGAAACGATCTATCAATTGGAGTGAAAGTTTGTGAACAACAAAATGCTATGTATGCTTTCATTCACAATCTTTCAGATCCAGTTGACAGATCGTCTTTGCTCTCGCCTCAGATAAGGGCGCATGGGAGGTACATTGCCATCCGCACTGCATATCGTTGGAACCATACATATGGCTTGCAGCTTCAAACCCAAGCTATGTACCGCTATTGTTGGTAACTTAGTCCTGCACAGCAAAGCGCACAAAGTAGCTGCACGGTCGCTGGTTCCCATTCGCACTGTGTTGTCCAGCGAATTGACGTGCTGCCTCCAGCTAGCCGATGATCCAGCATTGCAGACAGCATGGTGGCCATTGACACCCGCCATGCAAATGCCACTTGCTACTGTGAGGAACTTCAAGTCCACAAACGGGGTGTCATGGATCATCGTGTGTCCGAATTGGGGTGAGTCGACGGCTTTCTTGATGGGAAATATTCAGATGATGGCCCATGCCAGCGTTTGGGGCGGGGCAGATTGTCCGCACTGGGCGACCTTCTGGCGTTTGGAGCAGGTCAGTTGAAATTCAACTGGGACAAAGCCGTCAATTCTGACACGCCAACAGAAAAGCAGTGGTGGGTTTTACGCACGTGCCAGGAGCTCTTTCAAGAATCGACAACTCTGCCAGGTGCTGGCGACGGCTGCGACTGGAACACCATGCTTTGTGGAGCCCAACGGCTGCCACTTGAGGCCCAATTAGCCCTGTGAGAGCTGATCAGCGAAGGGGGCTGCGTCATTGGATGGCTTGAGGCGATATCGATTTCGATGATCGTCTACACCAGGCGACGCAGACCACCCACATATAAAAGGTTGCTGCAACAGGCGCCAACTCGCAGTTGTGGCTTTCCAGTCCGCCTGGGATGCCAAGGACGGAATGTTCGCGGTGACACCAAGTATCCGTCTTCGGCCGAGCCACACGGAGATCAACATTTGGACGTTATCTGCGTAGTGAACCTTGTTCCCGAATGAGAATTCCTGCACTGGAACCCCGGGTCTGCAATTTGTGTGTCAAACGCATTGAGCTCAGTGAGATCTTCTCCGGTGCACAAATGACGACAATCGACCGTGGGAGAACCGCGTCAAGGTGATGGTACACGATGTGCCCCACATCTCTCTTTCTCCCGTTCCCATTTTGCCAATGGGAAAACGAGCGTCAGGGATGTGGTAGACAATGCAGCGGCAGCGGCATGGTGCACAACACGCCTGCCTGACACCAATATATTGCCAACACAACGTACACAGCCAGCAAGGTTGAGGATCATCGTGCGCGGCTGAGGGTTTCTCAACTCCGCTGGGAACACAGAGGCCTCGTCACCGCAATCTTGCGTTTTGATGGATCTGGGCGTCACGCAGCACGCCACAAAACTGTGAACAGCCACCCACTGAGGCAGGGAGCCGATTCCTCATTCGCATGGCAAGGAAGGCATGTGGAGATCGAGCACAACGGTCCACCCTTGGGACACCAACATTTGTTCCTCAAGTCAGCGGGTCACTGCAAGGCGCCCTGGCTGCTGACTTGTCATCAATTCTTACTTACATCTCAAAAGAAACAGCTCGGCTAGTGTGTGCCAAGCACAGATCACAACTCAGTGTGATCCCCACCCTTCTCAGCTCCATCTTTTCCAGTATCGCTGTCATCGGCTCCCTTCTTCGCCTTGGTGGGCAGTGTGTACTCTTTGACAGCAACTGACTTGATAAATTTGGTCAGACCCTGAAGAACAAAATGCAGCACAGGATTAACTTTCTTTAATGCCATTCGAGACATGGTGCAGGCGCCAGGTTTACTACTCGGCTGCCCTGAAGCCAGCCTGGACAACGCAGCATATACCCTACAATATCATTATTATACCCTACACAATTATTGCTTTCATGACTGTGCTGCGTTTGCAGGAAGCAGCACCAGGTTACATGCTCGTCTTATATCACAAATGATAGTCCCAATATCGTGTGGAGGCTCACAGCAGCGATCAACTCTGAGCGCTTCACTGATCGCCACTGTGCGATGACTTGATGAATAGCGACACAAGCACAAGAATTGTCAAGCAATCTCAGACTATTTTGGTCACTAAGCAAACAGCAGTGCTGCTGCTGGTAGCCATATGCACACAATGCTAACCCTTCTGCACGTAGCATACACAGACCATTGATTCCTCCAATAGGAAGGACATGCCACAACATGCATCGCTTGGAGAACAAACTGCCTTCTTGCTTTTCCCCAGATGCTCAACCACCCCGCCCATCATCAGATCGTCAAATCAGCCAGTCAACGTTACAAGTCAGGACAGCACATTGAACTCACCAGGAGGGTCCTGTCGCCGCTCTCAAAGGGAATCGACTCGCAGCCCTCTTTGGCTGGGAAGAACAAGATGGTGGGGAAGCCCTCGACCTCCACCTCCTTGTGCTCGTTGGCGGTGCCGTCCATCTTGGCGACCACCACTGAGTCGATCTTTGCGAATCGCTTTGCGAGTTTAGCATAAACTGGTGCAAGTGCCTTGCAGTGGCCGCACCATGGGGCGTACACCTCCAGGAGGACGTCCTTCTCAGGGTCGCAAACGATCTTGTCAAAGGTTTTCCCCACCACAATTTGGACTCCGTCGTCCATGTCATCCTCAGGGATGTCTTCCGATTTGTAGTCTGGCTCAACAGTGCCATCCAGGACGCCAGCAACGAAGGCTGCTAGCTTCTCCTCGGTGACCTTGTCGGACAGCTTGTATTTCTTCGAACCACTGAGCTGGAACGCCACAACCTGGTGCAGCAGCAAGAGAGTATGGATGAGGACAAAACTGCGTTTTGACTGCATCTGCACAAGCAGAACACTTGCCAAATCGACTTGCAAATGGGATGCAGGCCCAGCCAGACCCGGTGCTATGTCCCAGACTCGATAACCATCCCATACTTCAGAACAGCCAAAATGAAGCACCACAAGCACGCAAATATTGCCAAAACACCGAAAACTCGATCCGGCACCTGCGGTTGTGGAAGAGCAAAACATGCTAACGCTGAAGAAACCAGTGCGGAATGATGAACTATGTGTGAGTGGAATGATGGACTATGTGTGAGTGTAATCGATACAATACTCCACACAGTACGCTGGTGTTTATTGGCGCACAGATGTACTACAAGCGGAGACTGACTGTAAAGCACAGAGGTTCAGATGCACAACTCAGCAGCATCTTGTACAATCAATATGTTTGATGCAATCAACGTGCCAAGTACACAAGTTCCCAGCACGGCTGGTCAGATGCAAGGGTATGGCAACCTAACCATCGTGCCATGTATAGAACAAGCTATCCATCCCTTGTTGAATCCACGATGAGCAAAGCATACAGGATTCCAGCACATTATCACACCAGGCACAGATTTGCATTTTGCTGTGACAGAAAAAAAAGAAAAAAAAACTGATGTGCTGTGTGCTGAAGTAAAATTTTAAAGCAACCAAGGGGGCCACACACAAGGTTGTTGCTGATGCTGTTGTCCATGACTGCGCATCGACACTGTGCTGCACACTTTGCTGTCCAACATATTCTCTAGAAACACATCCACTGCTGCCCACACGCCAACTGCCTTGCTGGGGCTCCATCCTCTCTCCATTGCAATTGTGGGCCACATAGTGCAGCATATTCTTTACAGCTGGATACTGATTTCAAAGCCCACCTGTGGAAGGCTCTCCTTGTCCAAGCCGAAAAAGTTGAGAACCGAATCTGCGCTATCGCTAGCAGCATCAACGCTCACAAATACAACCTTGCCCTTGTGCACCGCTGCGACGGCTTTCACTGCCTGTGCACACACAGCAGCTATGCGTGTCAAAATGTTCGCAAACACAGCATATGCAACAGTCCCAGTACGGATCTTCAACATTCTCATGCACCACGGCCAACTCGAAGGTGCTGCATTTCTTGTCCTCGAGGATGCATCCAGTCTTGTGCTCTCACAGTTATGGCACAGCCAACACTAAGATAGGCAGTGTGCATTTGGATGGGTCTCAAGCTGGACGTTTGAAGAGTTTTCAGCAGTGTAGACACAGGAGGACATACAGACCATCACCACCTATGGCATACTGAGGCAAATGCAAATCAACAGCCATGTATGGCTTCCTGGGTTGGCCATCAACACTGCAAATACCACCAATCTGAGTTAAAGTTTGAGGCTGCAACTCCTGATCGTTGACAAGTTTGGGCGAAAGTGATGCTTTTGACACAGGGAGCTGTTCTCCATACCTTCAGCACTTCAGAATCTGCAGCCAGGTCCTCTGCATTGGCGACCACCAGGCACTGCCTGTCGATGCCAGAGTCGAAAATCTTGTCCTGATTCTTGTCTATGAATGGAATCACCAGAGGGAGCTTCTCTGACATTACGAACTCTTCAAGTTTCTCAACAGTAAAATCGCCCTCGAACAGAACAACCTCTCTCTCTTCACCATCAAAGTTCTTGATTACCACCACAGAAGGAGCAGTGTCCTTTGCCCCAGCAGCCTTGGCTACTGCCGCTTCTGTTGTCTGGCCATAGGTCACGTCCTCTGACAGCCGTGCAGCTGCAAGGAAGGCATCAAACTCCTTGCCCTGTTGAGGAACATCACAGCAATGAACAGGTGGGATTCGCAACATCAATCTGATCCCCCAGGGCGTACAAATGAAATTTGCATCCTCAGATCATCAATCACCGGCGAGCTTCACGGGCAATGTTTTGCAATGTGAGTACCAATAGTACAGTGGACTTCCCGATCCTTGCAGCTCCTGCAAAGTACTGGGCTCAAACTACATGGCATAGCACACACACAAGCTTTGGGAGACCAGCCACTCAAGCCCAGATTGAATACACGAGCCAATCATGGTGAAATCACATCCAAGGAGACAGTGTATTGATCTCTCCAGCAATGAATACTGAAAATGATGATTTAACGACCTCAACAACAACCAGCAAAGTCCCACAGCATGCATGCACTGAGCATGGGCCTGGAGTCAACATCAATGTCACAAGCTGTCAAAACACCTGCACCACTGCATGCAGCAGTCTCACCTCAAATTTAGCAAAGTAGCCAAGCACCACAACCTCACTCTCGGTTTCAGCTTTCTTCAGCTGCTCTGCAGTCTCAACAGTGACGGCAGGAGGACCAGTCTTCTTCTTCACCCACCGCACGATAGACTCCCTGATCGACAAACACAACCTCAGCCCGCGTTTCCGTACTGTTACCGTTCCACACGAAAATTGCTCCGCCATCTGCCCCACTGTGGAAACAGTACCCACAGAATTCTTGCACGAACCACACTTTCCTTTCGGTGAAAGCCAATTTTCAGCACACAACACGCCGGCACCGAGCGGGTCGAAAATAGCCTCTCCGGCCCCAGCGCGCTTCCCCCGCTCATCAAGAGGGCGTATCCAACTCAGCAGTGGGACTGCAAAACGACATGGCACACCCGCCCTTCGCGCCCACTCACACGTCCCGGCCGCCACCGTAGTCGCTGGCCTTCCCGTTCACGATCCACTTCAGGGTTGGATACCCCTGCACATCGTATTTCTCCCCCAGTTCCTTCTCCTCCGTGGCATCCACCTGCGGATCAGCTGGGAACTGCTCAGACGCCGTCTAGCTTCTTCAACCAGCACCTCAATCAGAAAACCGATTGAAACCACGGAAGCGGACAAAACATGGAAAGGGCCGGAGCTGGACACCCTTTTCCACGATGCCACACCTTCCCCACGACGATGTTGGAGTTGTATTCCTTCAGCTCGGTGGCCGCCTTCGCGTACTCGGGCTTCAACCTCTGTGGAAGGCCATCACACAAAGGGGTCACAACAGCGCACGTGGGAGCAATGCGTCGAGGCAGCAACGAGACGCGGACGTCAGCTATCAATGCATCCATCCTTCCCGACGCTCAGCGGATAGAGTTGCAGAAGGCATCAACGTGACAGGCCTGGCGACGGAAAACACCGCCGGTCAACCTTCCAACTGTACCAGCCTTGGGACTTGGTTTGGATCAACCGACTGCGCTCACCCCTGAGCGGCCGAATGCCACGACGCGCCCATGGGAGCCAAGGAATCAGCATAAAAAGTTCTTCGGGACGGGGCGGGTGAGCTTGGGATCACGGGTGGGATTCGACCCTCGACTTCCACTTCTGCGACATCCAAGAGCCGAGAGGCGGAGACGAGTACGAGCGAAATGCGAACGGTATCAACGCGGCAACGAGATTGGAAACAACTACAGCAACAACGGCTCCAAGAGATGGACAGGTGTCCTTCGACACCGGCAGCCGGATCGCAGTGGCGCGCCCTCAGGCTCACCTTGCAGTGTCCGCACCACGGAGCGTAGAACTCCACCTGCAAGGAAACGCAAGACATCAGCCCCCGTCACTCTCCGCAACATGATCTCCAACCGCCACCTGGCGCCACACCTCAAGGAGGATGGTGCTCAAGGCACGACGCGCAAAGTGGACACACGCACCAGCGCAAATTCCGCCTTGAGAACCGTGTCGTCGAAGTTCTTCGACGTGAGAATAACCACGTCCTTCTCAGACGGCTCGTCGTCTCCCGCGGCTTCGGGTTCGTCGCTATCATCCCCTTCGTACTCCTCGTACTCGTCGTCCTCCTCATCTTCATCCTGGCCGTGCACTCTGGACAGTGGCGCGGTGATCAGCAGAGCGCCCAAGAGCACCGCCAGAATCTGCCACCGCTTCATGGCGGGAAGCCAAGGGCAGGGCGGCAGCGGCTGAACGGCGCAGTGCTGGGGGCCCACAGGCAACAGCAGCTCGCGCAGGGCTGTGAGGTGTTGGCGCCAAGGCGGGTATTGGGTAGCGGTGGCACTTTAAATGTGGAATCGGTGAGGGTGTCGGTTTGGTGTGACCTAAATGGGCATTAAAGCGCAGCCAGCCTTGGGTTTGTTGGGCATGGCCTCTTGGAAATGCCTTGGTAGGAATGCGGAAGTTGCCAAGCTGCTGCGAACGGATGTGGTTCGCTTGTTCACACACGCAAGGCAAGCGTGCATGTGTATTCCTCCAGGGATACGCTCCGATAGAGCACATCAAAGCACGGTCTCCTCACACACATCCCATTCCATGGGACAGCAACACGCCTGATACCTGATCCTAATGGGCACGTCTGTGTCCAGCAGCTGTCCCATGAAGCACCAATGCCCACATTTTGCAGGTGTTGAGAAGCCCCACACATCATCAGCGGCTAAGATGGGCCAAAGGAGGCACAACAAGACAAGGGTTGCAGCCTTGGTTCTGTCAACAGGGCTAGCACAGTTGCTGTGGTCCTGCCCACCTTGCATAATCGTTGAATTGAAGCAAAGCCCAGGTGACCTGACAACCAAGAGCCAAGTCCGAACTTCACAGCCTGTCCGCAGAGCATCAGCTACCAGAGCTGCACTAACACACAACAATTGAAAAATTGCCTTGAACTCCTTGAACATCTTGTCGAATGCACAGGAGCCTGTGCCACAGAAGGAACATTGGCGTACGTGGTTTTGGACAGCGAGCGTAGGCAACCATAGGACGCCCAATGTGAACACAATCAGTGGAAACCAGATCGGGGAACTTCTTGTGGAAAATCTTGAGGGCCAACGACCTTGCTCTAAGAGCACTATCAAGGGTATTTGCTTGGCTTTCGGACATTATGCACACAGAAGCAACGGAGGCAACATAACATCATGTGCAACCAAGGCAACGTTCACAACACCAACTTGCAATGCATCTGCAAGAAGTACATGTTGTAGCTGCAGGGGGTTTCCACAGTTTGTTGCTACAAAATCCCTCTTCGCCGCTCGAGCTGTCAGTGTCCCCACATCCTAATCCCTGCCAGCATTCAACAGTGGCAAGGGTACAGGAATAGGCGTGCGAATGAACGCTTCCACCCCCCTGGGCGTCCACATCCGCAACACAACCCGCCCACGACCAGAAGGCACCAAAACGGATATCCACCCAGGCACACCAGAGACAGTTATATCAGGCCACCGCCAGCCCAAAACCGAGCAATCCAACTCCACTTCCCTGGCAAGCGTCAGGCCCCCACACATCTCAACCGAAGCCTCCCCAAACATAGGGCCTGGTGGCGTGGACATGCTCCCCTTTTCATGCCATGGTCCTCGTGATCGCGCTGGCTTTGTGCATCCTGCAGGTGCTTCAGCAGGCCTGGCAGTGTGGGGCTCTCCTGCCTCTAGGAGCAACTCAGATTCTTTGAATGCATCTAGTAGGGAGTTGCTGATTGAGGAAATCAACTCACTTTCGGCTTGACTCTTGACATATTTAACCTCTGCCACTTCCTCTTCACCCACAGAGCCCCATATGGACGTGATGGTACCATGGTCTTTATCTTGTCGCAAGCCAGAACGTGGATTCACTGCAGAAGCCAATTGTCTGTCGGCAACATCTTTTCCGGGATCTCCTGGGGCAGGGGCAACATCTTTATTGTTTGATTGGTCTATTTCCTTCACATGTTCACACCCATCATCTGCTGTTGCAACCTCTCCCACTCCAAACAACCTCATAGATCGAACCTTCAAGACCTGAGGTCCGTAGAAGACCAGAGTAGTGTCCCTTGGCGCTTCCACGACATCGATCCTTGCCAGGGTACCCCACAGATAGGTCGCTGATACAGGGCTTTCGTCATCAAAAACTCTGGTGCCACTGCAGATTGTAAGCGGCGTTGGAGGGACATAGGGGCGCAGCTTCTTCCTAGGATGTAGGCGGCGAACGTCTCCCGGTGAAAGAATATGGGGCACACGATGGAAGAGGTGGACACCTGGTGTGTCTGGACAGAATGGAGCACATGTCATTCGCCAATTTCCTTGCGGTCAAAATGTCGTACAAATGCAAACGGCAGCAAACTTTGCACAGCATCTCAGTCATGGTTTGCGTTCTTTCGTTCAACATTCCACAACGTGGCGATGTGACAGCTGATACAAGAGCAGGAAAGAAAACAATTTAGGTTCACACTGATTCTCCACATCCACTGGCTGCAATCGTATGACGAGCACGTGAAGGTATGTTCCTTTCTTCCTGTCATCTACACAAGCCGAACAAGCATGGGTCCATGACATGGTCCCATACAGATCTTCATGACAACCTGCGGCCCATAAAGGGCAGCTTGGGCTACAATTTGCACCCCTACCATAAAGTGTCCCGCCTGTAGAGAAAGCTTGCAAGGGAATTATGCCCAGCGTGGTTCCTGGCATTTCTGACTCTGTTGGGAGGAAGCGACCAAAACTCCTGGCAGCAGGATCGAAACTTGTAGACACAAATGCCCTCATTTCTTGGAGGAGGGCGCGGACAAATGCAGACTTGCCAACATTGGCTGCTCCCATGACATAAACATCGCGGCCCCTCCTCATCTTCTGTAAGATCGATGCAGCTCCCTCAACTCCTTGGAAAATTTCAACACAACAACATATCAGGTGCAGAAAGAATTGCATCGACGGATGGTTACAAGGCAATGGTAATGGCAGCGTGTTGATATGCAGATGCTCAAAGACTCTAAGCTATATCCAACCTATGTTCATAAATGCACTTGTTTGTGTCAATTCTGCTCACACTTTGATGTCAGATGCACAATACACAGATACACAGATACAATAATGCATATCTGAGAAGGCGCAGGCAGCACTGCATAGCCAACAGTGTAGAAATCGATACATTTCAGCGAAGAAAAGACATGAAGCCACAGCTGCGCACATTAGTGTGGAAGACAAACAGACGAATAGCTGTGTGTTGCAAGATAAAGTATGCCAAACAACAAAAGAAAGGGCGAGTAAGAATACCAGACATACAACTAAGGGTTAAGGTCCAAAGGTTGCTGCAATCGGCAGCTGCTTCTTGCAACACTCAGACTTGAGAGGCAGCTGCACAAACCAGCAATGCACGCTGCAGCCTGGCATAATCGGCTTCAACAATGAACGGCCTCCAGCTGCTGCATGTTCTATCATCGGCATGGGCAACTATTTGGTGCAGGTTGCAGCACAACAGCACAGCAATGTCCAGGACATTCAAGATGAAATAAGTCATATTCAGGTGTGATGCTACTGGTATCAGGCATGCAAGCGCTGAAGCAATATCACTAACATCGCTCGCTCAATTTCTTGCTCTAGATTCATTGGCTTTTCACAGCCTAGGATTCTACATCAAAAATAACTGATAACAACACACCCAACGGCTCCATCCCAAACGCCAAAAGCCAATCGATTCAATAGAAATAACAACACTGGCAAACAGTCCAGCAGTTTGCTCCAACCAACGGTCAACCCTGAAGCCCCAGTCCACCTTGCCCAGCTTTGCTGCTGACCAGGTGTGTGCGATGAACGTTGAGGCCCTTCTTGTGCGCAATCTCCTCCAGCCACTCCTTGACCTCCAAAGGAGTAGTCCCCCGGGGCAGCAGGTCCAACTTTGTGCCGATGAGAATGATGGGGTTCTTGCCCACCAGGTCACGCACACTGGACAACCAGCTCCCTGGTATGTCCAACAGGTCTACCAAGAGAAGGATGACAGCATTCCTGTGGCGCACTCCCTGTGCTGCAAAAGATTGAACAATTCTGAATGCTGGTAATGGTACAAGTGGCAACAATCGTGTGTGAATCTTCAGCACCATATGCACATCAATAAACATCTGCCAATGCAGACAACTCCATTTGCGCTCCCCGCATCTGGTCTTCCACAGGCCGATTCACCAAGGGTGCAAAATTGCACTGTTATTGCAGCCTCTATGGTGCTGTCAGACTTGCCTTCAGCTGCCTTCTTAGCTCTTCAGGTGCAATCAACACTTTTGGAGCAGGTTCTTTCTCGCTGGTAGCGTCAATGCTGGATGCAAAAGAGAGGTTTTTCTGGTGTCTGTCATCGACCGCAGGCACCATCTTGCCGTGGCACAATGAAATGCAGCGTTCACAAAGCATCTGCAGCATGTAAGAATGTGTATCAGCAAGTCTACAAACAAGTAAAGGCAGCAAATTGCTATGTGGCTTCCAAAGTATCACATAATTCCCTGGTGAATATTGAATTCCAGTCAGAAGTCTGACCTTTGACCTTTCTCCATCTTAATTTTCCAGTTGTTCTGCACTGTGGAATTCATACTATAGTCTGACAGTTGGTGGCCAATTATCAAAACCATTCCAGCCACTGTAAAGGGATCATAACTTACATGGGTGAATGCAACAAAGGGCAGACAATAGTCTGCCTAGGCAGTGCGTTGACTTCAGCAGAATCAAATGACAATCATCTACTTTGCAGCCTACGAAGCAGCCAACTCAGCGTGCCTACACCCCTTGCAGTGGTGTGATTGGAATGGAAAGTAGTATGTCCAGTGTAGAAGGAGCAAAGGACAACCACCCATTGATGCAGGCTCCTGTCTTCTAAATAGATTTGACATCCTCATGAGTTGCAGCCGACACAACAGCATAACAGACTCGTTTTCAATGCAGGCACACACAGAGGGGTGGCAAGCAGACAGTGATTCAACACAACTGTCGCTCATCTGCCTGGGCAGATGGATTCATGACATTCTCTGCTGTTCCCACCTGTGTGTATTGCCTGTGTTCCAACTTGGTTGCATACTTTTCCGGTTCAATGTACCCCATTTCTCCAGGTTGTGTTGTTTGCAGCTTGACACCACATCCGTAACAGAACACCTGGAACAACATAATGCGGATTTGTTTGCCTGGGACAAATCATGCGTTCTCATTCTGAATTACTCCATACACTGATGAAATACAGCAAATTGCAACAACGCAAAGCATGTCCCACTTTTTCTGCATATTTATGATGGGAAGTCCATTCACACCGATGTTGGCACCACAAGCACACATCAAACCCCAAACTCAGCACCTGCAGCTATCTGACTATGCATTCAAGACAATGTGTTGAAACAAAATGGCTTTTTGATGGACATTCAAAGCTCAAGACAAGAAACACCTGTGCCAAACACCTCTGTGTGTGGATTGTAAAATGCAAATCAAATTCATTGCGTATTTACAAGCTGTCTTAACAAAACACATGATCTTGCACACCTTTCTAGAGTCTTCTACTGTCAATTCAAGTTCATCGTCACTAAAAGAGTGGCTTAAATGTTGAGAATGTCCCTCTTGACTGGGCCCCCTTGCTCTGACCAGCATGAAACCACAAACAAAAGTCAGGAAACATCCCTGTGTTCGAATCCTTACAGCCAGCGCCTATCTGGCATTCATTGTGTCGGTGGAATACAATTTGCGTTGAAGACAATGGGGACACCACACAACCACTTGTCCTTCATTTGTCCTATCGAATCTCGATGTCCTATCAAATCACAGCATCTGCCATGACAGTGAAGACCACTTGTGAGGCAATAATCAGCAAGCCTTAGAGCACTCTGGGTATTGGAACTGTCAATGTGAGAATCCCATTCACAACTTCACCTCCAGGGCAAAGTGAGCACACCGATCTACAAAGCAGAAGCACTTCGCAGGTCCAATGCAAAGTGCGGTACAGTCGATGCACAGCACATGGGGTCCAAGGAGGGTGAACAAAATATAGCATGGAAACGATTGGTGCCTCGCCCGGCAGCGACATTCATGTGCAGACGCACACATCTGGAGGAAAGGGAATGTTCTGACATGCATGGTTCAGGAACATGGTCAACAGCTCCGCAGCTGCTGCTGCTACCATGCCAGCTGTGCTGATGTGTCACATCAGCAGTTACCATCACATGCTCGTGCCCATTGGGCCCACCATGGAACATCAAAATGCAGCCCGTGGCCCTGCCCAGACAATTGGGACCCCGTACGTCGTTTTACGCTTAATGGCAAAAGGGACTGTTTCAACACGCGGATTGGAGCTTTCTGGTATGCCCGTTAACGTACACGGTTCCAGTGCAGCGCACACCAGCACTTGGACAACACACAGACGTTCATAATCGGGCAATGGCAGGCACAACACCAGCACTTGGACAACACACAGACGTTCATAATCGGGCAATGGCAGGCACAACTCGACAACGAATTCAACAAGGCGGCATTCACCTCAAACGGACAATGGAAAGAGCCCGGCATCTTCTCTTGCACTTGGTGGATAGCAGCCCGGCTGAAGACGACGCTCCTCCACCTGGTGGCCCAAGGCCCGCACTCGATGGTCGAAATTCGACACAATCACGGGAGCTACCTGCGCCCACTGACCAACAATCGGTTGCTCTCTTCTGGCCACACCCATCCCAACCCCCGCGACACGCCAATGGCCTCTTGTCGTTTCGAAACTAACCCAACGGGGATCACCGGACCAGTTGTGCGCCCATGAAAACGTTATCGACACGGCGACAATGCGCACCAGTCAGCGCTGGCTGCATTGCAGTCGCCACGCCCCCCGCAGCTGGTGATGCAGAATCAGCCGTCTTAGGTTCCCGTCCTGTGCCCGCTCTCGTTCTCCGTCAAGCACACCAAGGGAACACTGCAGTGCGAGCCCATTTCCCATCTGCCTGGTATGCAACCGTCTCCCCTACGCTACTGCCAAAATTCCTTAGGAAGGACAGATGCCCCACCGGGCCCTTGGCTCTGCGGCTGGATCTGGCCGCTGCCCTGCGCCTGCGGCGAGGCACCAGCAGCCTCCCAATGCCACCCCTGCCGCCCGGGGCTGTCGTCCCCGCTGCGCGTATGGTGCCCCTCGCGAGAGATCGCGGGAGCTTGCGACGCACCTGGGCTGGTCGCCATCTCCTGCAGAAGGACCGGCTGGCGTGGGCGCGCTGCCTGGCGCGGCCGGCCTCCGTCCGGCCGCATCCGATCGGCCTTGGCGCGTCGGGGGGGTTCGTTCCAAGATTTCGTTGCGCCGGCCTTGCCAGAATCAGCGGACCGAGCCTGTCGGCGGGGCTGGGTAAAAGGGGCTACCGGCGATGGAGTCGTGCATTCTGCAAAGCGCGTTCCCTGCGGGCTGCCAAGGACGGGGATTGCGGGGACCAGAGTGTTGTCCGTGAGGCCTGGGCCGGCGTTGAGAGGGATGGGTTGCTGAAGCGGGCTTGGGAGCACGGCATGAAACCCGCACTGGTCGCAGGGCTGCTTCTTGTGGCGGCTGGACGTCCCGCTCTGGCATGTGCATCAAGGTAAAGCCGTGATCAGAACGGTGAATGCGGCCTCTTCCTGTGTCCCTTGCATTGCTTGGGACCAGGATCCCATACTCATCCCACTCAATGCGCGCATCAGAAGGACTTTGTTGCCTCGCAACCCTTCTGTGTCCCGGGCATCCATTGGGCATTTGCATGAAGAAAAGAATGGAGTGAACGCATGGCGAGCTTGGATGGTCGCCGCACCATCAACGGGAATTGCAGCAAAGAAGTGGATTGATGTTATGACTCGTTTGCATTCTACAGTGGACGCTGGTGAAGATCCCAATGCAGAAAACTGCAGTCATTTCAATTGCTGTCAACAAGACCATGCGGTAACCTTGCGCCTTGCACCTAGGCGATGACGGGCACGTACACATCCATGAACTTTTGCTTTGTGCATGTTCTGCATGTATTCATATTATCTGCTAGCCACCTGTGTGGTCAGACATTGCTGCATGTTTGATGTCCTGTTCCTTGTGTAGAAGGCTGCGCGGAATGTTTCCGCATCCCCAGCATATTGTCCCAAAAAGCACAATTCCTGTTGTGGTTGGGAGAGATTACTTCACAGAATAAAGCATAGAGCGCAAGTCATTGTTGCGTGCCATCCCTGACACGCACAAAGATTTTGGCATCATCTGTTGCAGTGTGTGAAAACTGATCTGATACCTTGTCAGAGAGGGATGCTCATTGCATGGCAAGATCTCCCCCCTCTAAATGATTCTTTTCTGTTGATGCATCAGGACTTGTGCAGAGATGGATGCGCTTGCTGTCAGTGTTGAGCGGTCTCCAAGCTCCCAGCACAGCCCTTCAGGACCTCCAGGGACGTCCTCCTCTCATGACACAGTGGACACCAGGGGTTCCTCCAATCCGATGCACAGGGGCGGATACAGAGACACAGGCATCAGGCTGGCAGAGGATGCAGATGAGGAAGCAGGGAACAGCGAGCAGAAGACTGCCACGAAAAAGAGCAAAAAAACCAAAGGGGAGAGGCTGGCTGAAAAGAGAAAAAAGGAGAGAAGTAAGTGGCTGGAGTCGGGGTGCATTGGTGTTGACTACAAGGAGCCCAGTCATGTGGCTTGGGGGTCTGGAATTTGAGCCACAAGCTACCTTGTGGTTGAGCAAGCCAGGTTATCTGCGTGGACTGTTGGAGGGTTTTGAGGCACAGTTGTTGCATTGAAAGATGTCGTGTTTGTTTCAGCACTTGATTGATCAGTGATATATGTCCCTTGTTGAAGATTCAGTGGACAATAAGGAGAACAGGGCAGTCGGGTACCCCTCCTTCCTGAGCATGCAGATTGCGAGACACTCTACCTCGCTTAAAAGAATAGTACAGATGCTTCCAAGTGGCAACAGGGTAGCTCATAACACAATCGAACTTGTGCGGTTAGGAAAGTGCCGAAGTTGTGAGGGACATCATTTGGAACAGGCATTCATGGCTATTAATATGGAAATTATCAATCTGAAATTGTGTACATCAATCTGAATTGTTGCTGGTACCACTGTGCAGAGCTTGCTTGTTTATTTCTCATGTCCAGTGCAGCAACTTTGTGATGATGTTGGTTGTGATGCATGCAACATATTCAGATATGCTGCAAAGTTCAATTTTGGCTGGTCTTTGCAATGAGACATACTGTCTAGATGTAACCTTTGTGAGTTGGAAAATGCTGCATTATGGCTTGCTGTGCTGCAGGTATCGTAAAAAAGGGGAAACGTGTGGATATCAACAAATCTGTTGTCCCTGACCCAACTTTGGTTCCTGAGAACGATTCCAAGGAGGCCAAGGCCCTGATGTCCAACTGGCGTATGGACAAGTTGAAGGACATTTCCTACACACAGTTTTGGGCACTTGTACGAGAGGGACGTGTTGACAAGGTCAGTATACAGCAATGCTTCATTTGACATTTTGTGATATGAGCATAACGTTGAGGGCTCTGGACTTTATGGCATCAAATCTTGCATGTACCAGTATGTCCTAGTATCATGGCGATGCACGGAAACACAAACGGAAGTCGTGATGTGACAACCATGTTAGTCATCCTGGTGGGCGCTAGCAGTTGGCAATCCAATGTCCTGTGCCCTGCTGATGTTGCCATGGAACATGTGGAAATTGTGCAATATAGCGGAAATATGGGAGAAGCTACTTATCAAAATGGCAGCTGCTGCTTCTGGTAAAACCCTGAACAAGCTGTTGGCAGAATCAGGAGTTCCAAATGTGGTGTGCTGTATATTATAGAGTAGGAAACAGGGCCCTCCAGCAGAAATTGAATGGGCGCCTGCCTTGCAATGCCAGTTGAGAAGAGGTTTTCGATGGCATGCAGTCAGTAGCTGCGTGTCAGGGTGCAGACTCATTACGATTTCCTGAAGGAGAACTACAGCCTGTCAGTTGTGATTCACCACATCTACATTGCGGTACATGCTTGCTTTGTATCCCTTCTGAACGACAGCGCAGCCTGCAGACCCTCTTCGAGAGACCTTGTGGGGAGAAACTCCCTCCCCTTGCGCTTTGTCCAAGTGAAAGTCATGCAACAGATTGTATCCTGACTGCAGTGGCCAGCGGAAGTTGTTCTTGGCTTGGAGGGAATATGGAGGCTGTGGCAAAACAGATAAGCAGTATACTGCCCTTTGTCATGTTGCCCTTGATGGCCTACAGGAGGCTTACTATGTATTGTGGAGTTGCTGTGCACACTAGTGCGATTTACGGGTCACCTTTGTGGGACAGGCTCACTGTGAAATAATGGGAGTTGCGTTGTGCGTTGCTCAGACTCCTTTGTGGTCAGTGCCCAGGAGGCATGAACTTGATGGTCAGTTCTCTTTCTGTTCAAGGAGCGCTTGATTGCAATACTGTCCATTGCTGTCTCGAACAGGTCCAGTACACGCGTGACTATAGGTCCCTTTGGGTGGACCTGAAGGATTCAGCTCCAGGGGGCGCTCAAAGGATCAAAATAGGGATTCCATTTGACCCTGATTTGATGAATCATCTGGTGAGCATTGGTCAGGGCACAGGGCTCCCTGCTGTAGCTACCATTGGCACTTTCTCTATTTCCTTTATTGGTTGCTGTGCTCAGCCAACGTGTGCAGATAGATGGACGGACAGAATGGTGCAAATTGTCTGGCACTGTTGCCATCGGAGTGCTGTTGTTGTGATTGAATTGCATGATTTGATCATATCTCAAGAGGTGTTCGTGGGAACATTGCCAGTTTGTGCGTTTGCATTCCGCAGCACACCAGCCACGAGTGGCGGGGAGTTTTGGCCAGATGCCTGCAGAATGTGTTTGTTTCTTTCCCCATTGTCGCATTTCTCTCTGACTATCTGTGCATTTGCATTTTGTTCAGGCCATGACAGTGTGTTTGTGTCTGGTGGGCAGGTCTCCCATGGCGTGTACATTTCTGAGGAAATGCCCAGTCCTCTTAGTTCAGTGCTGTTCTCATTGTTCAGACTCACTGTCCCAATCACAGTGGCATTCTTCCTTGTCCAAGCGTCCTTCAGGTGAGCCAATGCCTTAGGCACACTGGCACTGCAGTGTTTGGCATAACTGGCAAGCTGAGTGTCAAGCACTTCTTTTGCATTTGTTGTGTTTGCTGTACGGCTGCTGCTGCCACTGGTTTCGTGCAATCAGCAAGATGGCAGTACGTTGTACTGCACAACATGTACAGCACCATGTTTTTAATAGTTGCATTGATTGTTTGGCCATGTTTGAGACCACCACAGTCTTGTTTGATTGCTGGGCTACGTGCTGACTGATGCATGTGGGACAGGCTTGGAGAGAGGAAGCCTGGCCAGGACCAGATTTTTGGTGGTGCCAACCTTGATATGATGGAAGCAAAGAAGATGCAGCTGACATTTAAAGATATTGCTGGAATTGATGAGGTCAAGGAGGAAATCAAGGTGGGGAACTGGGGTTTGCTTGTGATGGTGTTGTGAGCTGTCCAGATTGTACATCTTGGTATCTGTTGTTTCAAAGCACAAGCTTGGCTTTGTGGTTTCTGTGCTATGGTGCTCACGTTGCATACAACCAAATTGAGTTGAAGTGAGTTTATGCACATTGAAGAAGTGCTATGGCTGTGAACATTTAAGCACGCTCAAAAATGTCTGCATCTGCAGCTGCCTCTTTGTCCTGGACAGCTTGGTGACTCCACTCATTGTTGTGTGCATGTACAGGAGATCGTGTCCTTCCTGAAGAATCCGGCCAGGTTCACTGAATTGGGGGCCAGGTCGCCTGCAGGAATTTTGTTGGTTGGGCCCCCAGGCACAGGGAAAACCCTGCTTGCAAAGGCGATCGCTGGGCAGGCGGAGGTGCCCTTCTTTTCCACAGCTGGCACAGAGTTCATGGAGATGTACGTTGGTGTTGGTGCTGCAAGAGTGAGGGACATGTTTCAAAAAGCTCGAAAAGCGGTGAGTGTTGCTTGCCGGTGCTCCTGTCGCAATAAATTTGCTGCAGGCATGGATTCGCTGTGAACTGTTGCAGGGCATGCGACTGCAGCATCAAAGCCTTGTACATTGGCATCTGATAGGCTGAGAAGAACAGCTTGTGCTATTCTGCTTGCTTACTGCCTGTGGAACTATGTGTCTGATTGCAGATATATGCATCGTTTGCCATGCTTCAACATCCAGCTTCCTAATCCATCTGTTCACAATGTCATGGTATCAAGATCTTCAGTGGGTGTTCCCTTGGCGTAGTTTCGTTGGTGTCTAATGTTTGAATGTTCTTTTACAGGCCCCCTGCATACTTTTCATTGACGAATTCGATGGTGTGGGCAAGCAACGCTCGCAATCTGCAGGCAATGACGAGTCTGTACACACTATTAACCAACTTTTGACAGAGATGGATGGATTTGAAGACAACACAGGAGTGGTGGTGATCGCTGCAACAAATCGCCCAGGCTCCCTTGACACTGCTTTGACGCGTCCGGGTCGCTTTGACAGGATCATTCACCTGCCACTGCCGAACCTCGCAGGCCGCATAGAGATCCTGAAAGTGCATGCCCGTGGCAAGAAGCTAGAGGAGGGGTTGGAATTCTCGAAGGTGGCACGGGCCACAGCTGGCTACACAGGGGCAGACTTGATGAACTTGATGAACCAGTCAGCTATTGTAGCTGTTCGGCAGGTGGGAAATGCTGCCAGAAACTACTTGATAGACTGCTGTTGGAGCAGAGGGCAAGGGAGCTCAGCTGCTACCTTTCGCATATTCCAATGTGACTAGTACGTGGTAGGGCAACTGCTGGTTGATTTTGTGAACTGTCACCCTGCTACTGCAGTTAGCAGAACAGGTGATATCGGTGTCTGCTGCTTGTGGAGGGTGTCAGCTAACCTGTGCATGGGTATGGAAATGACCGCAGCATGGTGGTGAACAGATCACAGGTCCTCTGCTGAAGCTGCTGGGTTTACTGGGCTTCAGCAGTTTTGTGGGACTTGTATCATGGTGAACACAAGAATGGGCTTTCTGGCAGTGCATTTGTTTTACAAAGATATTGTGTCGTGTGATTACAGCAAGAACAGTGCAGATGTGAACACATGGAGAAGAAACATTGACATTAACAGGCCTCTGTATATCGTGCCACTCCAGTGGAGGCTATTGGCTTTGACTTTGTGTCCCTGTGCATACTTATGTGTCTGCAGCGACGCACCGAAATCCAGGAAGATGACGTGTTTCAGGCTTTGGAAGAGATTCAGATGGAGAGGACCAAAAGGGGCAGCAGCATGCAGAACTATGACGAGGACATCATTCCACCCATTCTGCGGCGGTCAATCGCTGTGTACGAAGCAGGGAAGGCACTCATTGGATACATGACACCACATTACGATGAAGTGCAAAAGGTATTGCTGTGCATTGCACTGTAACAACCGAAGCGCAAGCAGTCATGTGGGCGATGGATGGCATGTTGTTGTTCAGGGTGTCTTGTTTATTGCAGCACCAGTACCGCATGGCCATTCACTATTGTTGCATGAGATGGCTGCATACCGTTCATTGGTTTCTCAAATCACCATGGCAATGAGTCCACAAGCCCTGGGCAGGTGCAGGAAATAGACAGCATTCACTGGTGATCGTGAACAGGCTGACCTAATCTGGTGCAGGTATTGCGCTCATGCAAAGGGAGTGTTGTGTCAGGTTGACGAATGTGCACAATGGGGACTCACACATGCGTGCATCCAATGCCACAGGTGTCTGTCTGCCCCAATGGCATACCCACAGGCTCCACCTTCTTCATCCCGCAAGAGGACCGCCTGGAGTCTCGTGTCGTGACTCGGGGCTTCATGGAGTCGAAGATGGTCGTAGGCATGGCGGGACGGTGCGCCGAGCGGCTGCTGATGGGAGAGAGCTACATTAGCACAGCTGGTGCAGCAGACCTCGAGCAAGTCAACGGAATTGCAAAAGAGATGGTTTACAAGTGTGGCTTTGGGAAACGTATTGGGCCTGTGTCGCTGATGGACAGTGAGGATTACTATGTGGGTGACCACCACCAGACAAGGGCTGTTGCCAATGTGTCGACGGAGCTGGCAAGGTAGGCGCTCTTGGTGCCTCTCCACTTCTGCTTTTAAAGTTCTGCGAGGCAGGGAGTCCTCCTTCCCATGTTCGGGTGCATACATGATCAGAGAGTTTGCAGTTGTCAGATGAGGCTTGCTGCGCTAATCTCATTCAGTCTCTGCTGGTTGATTTACAGCTTGGGCTCCAGAATTTCTTCATTGGCGTCAGCGCCAACAGGTTCACTGGTTCAATTGCAAATGTGGATGGTATGTTCTGTGCATAGATTGCCAATGAGATATTCTGCTGATGTATGCCGCAGCATGCCATCATGTTTCATTGCTGAAGGCATACCTGGCATGCCCTCAGTGGCTGGCACCCGCTCGCTGGTCAAAGAGGACTCGTAGAACTCACATCAATTCATACTGGCATGCATGTAGCACATTGCAGAAAGCCTCATTCATGTTATTCCAGTCCGCTATGCATTTTGCTGGATGCTGACGTCCAGTACCCACAGTCAACAGTGCAGATTGGACACTCTCTGGCTGTTTTGCCTGGGAGCCAATACTGAAACTCGAAGTGTTCCTTGCAGGGACCACTTGACAGAATCTGGAAAAAACAACAACAAAATAAAATAACAAGAGGTGGAAGGCATTTGCCGGATCACATAGCACGCCTTGCAACAGTTTTGTAGGTGTGTATCACCCTCCACACATGTATTGCATCAATACTTGTACTGTGGGTGTCCCCTGGCTTATGGCTTTGTTGTTGCTTTTTTTCAGGATTGCACTGCTTGAGTGTCGCGAACTCATAGAAGCAGCGGAGGCAAAGGCGTACTTCGGTTTGGCGACCAACTTTCCTGCCCTAGAGGCGTTGGTGAACAAGATGGTTGAATTGGAGACCATATCTGGGAAGCAGCTGGCGGAAGTTGTGTCGGGCTGTGCGCTGAAACCGTTCACAAGCCAATTTGTTGAAGGATTCGGGTAAGGGTTGCACAGCTGTTTTGCATTGCGAGGTGCACAGCGCGAGAGCTGCGCAAGCGCATGTTGTATACCATGCTCACCCAGACATTCCCATTTGCAAGTGAGCCTGCTAATTAAAACTGCAAAATTCAGTTGATTCGACAACGAGCGAGTCGCCTGCCGCTTCGACCTGCCCCTTGATTTCGCATGTTGCTGCTCGCTTGACATGACATTGGGACAGATGTGTTCCTGACTGGCCCCACGCCGCTTCTTTGGGCCCAGGTGGAGTCGGGATGGAGGGTTGATATACCCCGGCCAGCCTGAACAGACCAGGGTTCCGGCCAAAAAACCGGCCCACAAGCGTGAAAAGCAGCTGGCTGCGGTTGGAGCACGGGAGGAAGAATCGAGGCGGCCAGCTGCAGTCCCATCGTATTGGGATCCACTGAATCCTTACACCCCCAAATGGGATCTCCCCGACATCATGGCGGACGAGTTGAAGGACTTGTATTGAATTGTGCGATGTGTAACGGACGCGGTCACGTGGAGCATGGCGCTCATGGGCAGTATGCAGTTTGGGTGCGGTGATGGACGAGTGATATGGGGCAGACTCATGGGACGATGGGTCATGGAGAGTCGAGTGCTGGATTGATTTCTTCTTGTCTTGTAATTGCACGCTATTGTGCAGGCTCTGCGCATGTCCCTATTAGCATGTGATGATGATGACCTCCCTTGTAGCATATGGTTCTTGGCATTTCCAGCCTCATGCCTTTGCTACAGTTTCAGCTTCAGCATTGCGAACGTTTTAGCATAGGCTGGCTTGGCTGTTACGGTACGCCTGTTACGGGCAGCGCCGCTGAAGATCGCCCGGGGACCTGCGTTCGCGTTGTCGTCTGTGTTGGAAACGTCCTGGAGCATGTTGACCTTGCGTGTTAAGACATTCTGCAGCTGCAAAGAAGCAGCAAAGAAAACGAAGTATCCAAAACTGTAAGTATCAAGGATTGCCAATGCCTATGTCTTCGGTGGAGATGCCAGGACTCCCAGGCTTGAGCTGCACGACTTCTTGCCACACTGGTCACGGCGCAAGCTTGCTGTACTTTGTTGACAGGTAACCATGCAGTCGTCATTGGCCAAATGTTAACCCTTGTTGACTTGCGAATTTCCGATTGAATGGCCCCCTCCCAAAATAGCACAATTTGGACCACAGAAGTACTGTACGTACAGTGGCTCAGCAGTATGTTCTCCCGTTAAGTGCGGCCAAGGCATTAGGAAGGGATTGCCGCAAGAGATAGGGGTGAGCACAGCGTCCATCGAACGCTGGGCGTGCAATATTCCAAAAATGTACTTCCTAACAGAGATGTGAATCAAGAACATTGCGAATGGCTTCCAGCGCTCAGTATTGCGAAAATTCGCCATGCAACTGGCGTTCAACTCAGACGCGTGCAATTGAGTTCATTTGGCAGGCACCCCGACTGCCAAGTTCCTTGGGGCGACTGCCTATACCCATGCCCCAATCCTGCACCTCGCAATCTATTCCTACCATGTCCCTATATCGGTTCAACACAGCTCTAACACACACCCAAGTGAACAAGCACTTGAATACCCAAGCGAACAAGCACGCTTTTGTTCCACCGCTCGGACGTTTCCGCGTAATGTGTGGACGCTCCAGACGCTTTTCTTAGTGCCTCGGACACTGCCAATAGCACGCTCGGACGCGCTTGGACGATTCCGAGGTGCTCGGAAACTGCGCGGACACCCCCTTTTCCCGTAGTGCTCCTTGTTAGACGATTCGCACAATGTCTCTTGCCGTATTCCCCCGCACCATGACCATCAATATAACCAGCTCAATCAGGTGACCAGCAGAGAGGGAATCCCAGACCGTGCCAGTTGAGGTTTGCGCGGACTTTCTTAAGTCCATCCTGGAAAGGTGATGCAGAGAGGCAAGCCATGTGACGGGCGCAGGGATCATCAAGTATGGATTGCTGGACAGGTCCGCTATCTTCATCCGCTTCAGGTGCATCAACGCCGGCGGTATCTCAAGCAAGTTGCAGTGGCTAAGGCACAAATACTGCAGGTTGGAAAGGGCGCTGAGGTTGTGCAAAGAGGCGGGACCGAAGCGATTGCGGCGGAGGGAAAGCAGTCGCAGTGATTGCAGGGAGCAGAGCACCTTTGGCACCGCCTTGATGCCTAAAGCATCCAGTTCCAACACCCGAAGAAGTGTCAGCCTTGTCAGGTCACTCCATTGCACGCACTGCTGCTCCACGCCGCCCCCCAGAGTCAGTACCATCAGCGACTTGCGCTGGCTGATTTCCCCCGGAATTTGCCGGAGGTGAGGGCAAGATCGCAGGTGCAGCTCTCTAAGATGGGGCAGCCTCGGTATTGCCCGCAGCCCTCCGCCTACGACATTGGTTGAATTGAGCACCAAGCGCTGCAGCATGGACAGAGCGTGGAACCCCGCCGGCAGCCCGCGCAAGCCGCAGTTTTCGATGCACAGAAGCTCCATACTTGTCAAGCTCGTCACAACTTGGGTGCCCTCTGAGGTCAGGCCGTCGTGGCTCCTCAGCATGAGGTGCCTCAATGTTCCGGCCAGCGTACTCCAGCTGCTCGGCAGATTAACAAACCCCCAACTGGCGTTGCGCTGTTCCGCACTTATGTCCAATGTCTGCAACTGTGGGAGGTGCGACAAGGGGCTAAAGTCCGTCTGCCCAGCTCTCAGGGGCGCTCTTATGCCGGTGACCACCAGGACACGCAGGTTGAGGAGGACGTCACCCAGGGCCTGCA